TAATTATAATGGACTTTTTTTCAAAACATCTTTTATTATTTTAAGCTAAAATACCCAAATAGTTATTTTCTATCATTATATTTGACTTTTTTATTTACTATTTTTAATATTCATCATTCTTAAATAATGAAAGAGTATAAAAACAAGATCAAAATACGAGAACGAAAGATGAAATCACATTTGATTTTGTACTGAAATTATTTACAATTACAAAACACGGTCAATAGGAGCGTATGCGGACGATTTGACCCGTGACCTAAGATTACAGGTAATCATATGTGATTTTACACACGTGTTTAGTGCAAAATCACATGTGATTTTGTCGTTCTCATGTGTTTCTTATTTGGTTACTGTTTTCATTTAAATTCCGACTCATTAAATAATATTTTAAATACTTAGAGCAACTTCAACATCTATGATAAAATAAAGATTTTGAAGATTTAGAGTATATTTATGCTTCAACAGCTATGTTATGACGTATGTTAAAATAGAGAAAACAACGAAAATGGTATAAATTTTCAAATTTAGAGAAATCTTAAAAACTCCTTGTTTAAGAAAGAAAAATAATATTTATTTTTTTCCCGACATATAAAAGATACTGAAATTAAGTGTTTAAGAAATAAACTAAATATTTTTATTAAATGTACTAAATTTAGGTATTTTTACAATCTCTCACATCTTTTTTTATTTTATCATGCAAGATAATATAACTGTTAGAGCAAGTAAGTTGCTATAATATTTTTTTCTTCCTATTTTAACATATTTGTTTTGATGCTTTATAGCATACTAGAAGGGTACTCGCATAATGCAGCGAGATACAAGTTGATTTTTTTGTCTCAGTCGATGTTATAATACGGTTTTATTTGATTTTGAGAATACGATAATGTTTTTATTTTTGAATAAAATATAAATATGAATACATATTACAAATTGAAAAAAAATATTGATATAATACCAAACTAACTGTATAAATTTTCTCCTTTTTTGTGTATCTTTTTAATTCATTTTTTTATTTTTGATTTGAAAATATAATTTTTTATAAAGATAATAATTAAGTATTTTGTTAGAACTTAACTCTTATCCTAATTATATTTTAGATTTTTTTATTTTTAAAATGATATGTTTATTTTCTATTTGATTATGTTTATCTGCACTTATTTACATGAACCCAAATATAAAATTTTAATAAGTTGTACTTACTACTTACACACGATTTACTTATTATCTTGAAATTTAAGTAATATACATCAATAAACAATACTTCATGCATAAAAAATGGTTTTTATCGGATTTTTGTCAAATGTTTTGTAATATAGTGTAGATTTATTGGATTAATAATATTACAATTTAATCAAAATAAATAAATAAATAAATTATAAAAAAAGAGAGTGAGTAGGGTTTTGATTTAATTTAAAGCCAAGACTTAATATATTAACACCACTTGCTACAACTCATCATTTCCTTTTCTTTTTATTTTTTTTGGAAAAAAAGAAAAAAAGTGATTTTAGTTAGTGAAATTGCAGTGTGGAGTTAATAGCTACAGCGCCAGAAAGGGTCAATGGCACACACACAAAAACACACACTCACACACACTAGAAGAGGCTCATCATCAATCATGGAGGTAGCTGTATGTTTCTGGATTAACAACTCAACTGAAATGACCAATTGATTTGGTGGGTTTGCTCTTATTCACTCTCATCTTCTACACTCCACAATTTGGGGGTAAAATTAGGGCTTATTTCATTACCTTCTTCTTCTTCTTCTTCACCTCTGGATCTAGGGTTCCGATTTGGGTTCGAGTTTTTTTCGATTTTCTTCAATGTTTCGAGTCTAGGGTTTGGAATTTTCTTGAATCTTGATTCGAGGTAGGGGTCCTATTTTCTGGGTTTTATAAATTTGTTGTGGGTGTTTTTGGCTTTATTCTCTTTCATGTTCTTCTTGATTTTTCTGATGTATGACCGTAGACAGCTGCATTGACCTTTCGATTTTCTTCTTGTTTTTTTCTCTAATTTCGAGGGTTCAGCTTTGTTAACCACCGTCCTTCTTCGTTCTTGAGCTGGGGTTGATTCGTATCGACCCAATTAGGGTTTGGGGGTGTTTTTAAAAGATAAATTAAGTATTTGATTTTGGGAATGTTAGAAAGTTGATTCGCTTTTGCTTTTCTGGGGGATTAGGGTTCCTAACTGAAACTCTTTTTGAAGGTGGTGTTTGGCTTTTTATGTGTAAATAAGCCAAAAACTCTTTTATTGCTTATGAACTTAAGCTGCTTTGATGCATCTTTCACTATGGAAACCAATCTCTCACTGTGCTGCTTTGATCTTGGACAAGAAAAGCAAAAAGAAAAATGGTTCCTCTGATCACAATTCATCAGATGAAATCAAGAAAAACCCATCTGTTCTTAGAAGACTTCAAGAACATAAACTCAGAGAAGCACTTGAAGAAGCATCTGAAGATGGGTCACTTGTTAAATCTCAAGATATTGACTCTGAATCAGGACCCATTAATCAAGATGAAGGATTGGGGAGATCTCGATCGCTGGCTCGACTCGAGATGCAGAAGGAGTTCTTGAGAGCTACTTCGCTTGCGGCTGATCGAACATTCGAGACTGAAGAATCGATCCCGGATCTCCATCAATCGTTCTCCAAGTTCTTGACCATGTATCCAAAGTATCAATCTTCAGAAAAGATTGATCATTTGAGGTCAGATGATTATTCCCATTTATGTGAATCTGTTTCAAAAGTATGCCTTGATTATTGTGGATTTGGGTTGTTTTCATTTCTTCAAACTGTTCATTATTGGGAATCTTCAACCTTTAATTTATCCGAAATCACTGCGAATTTGAGTAACCATGCTCTTTATGGTGGGGCTGAGAAGGGTACAGTCGAACACGATATAAAGATTCGGATTATGGATTATTTAAACATCCCGGAGAACGAATATGGGCTTGTTTTCACGGTTAGCAGAGGTTCTGCTTTCAAACTTTTAGCCGAATCGTACCCTTTTCATACAAACAAGAAGTTGTTAACGATGTTCGATCACGAAAGCCAGTCGGTTAATTGGATGGCTCAGAGTGCTAAAGAGAAAGGTGCAAAAGTTCAGAGCGCGTGGTTCAAATGGCCGACGCTTAAACTCTGTTCTACTGATTTAAGAAAGCAAATTTCTAGCAAAAAGAGGCGGAAGAAAGATTCATCGGTTGGTTTGTTTGTTTTCCCGGTTCAATCCAGAGTCACTGGTGCGAAATATTCATACCAATGGATGGCTTTGGCACAGCAAAACAATTGGCATGTGTTGCTTGATGCAGGTGCATTGGGTCCGAAAGACATGGATTCACTCGGGTTATCTCTTTTTCGGCCTGATTTTATCATTACGTCGTTTTATAGAGTTTTCGGGTTCGACCCAACTGGATTCGGGTGTCTTCTGATCAAGAAATCGGTGATCAGAAGTCTTCAGAATCAATCTGGTCATGCTGGTTCCGGTATAGTGAAGATCAGTCCGGTTTTTCCTTTATACCTGAGTGATTCCGTTGATGGAATCCCGGGATTGGCCGGGATTGAAGATGATGATGATGGTGGAAACGGCGAAATAGCCTCGGAAATCCGGCCGGGACCACAATTGCCCGCCTTTTCCGGTGCATACACTTCTGCTCAGGTGAGAGAAGTGTTCGATACCGAAATGGAGCATGATAACAACTCGGATAAAGATGGGGCAAGCACCATTTTTGAAGAAAATGAGAGCTTTTCTGTTGGAGAGGTGATGAAGAGTCCGGTTTTTAGCGAAGATGAGTCATCTGATAACTCGTTATGGATTGATTTGGGGCAGAGTCCTTTGGGGTCCGATTATGGTGGTGGTGCGGTGAACCATAAGCACAAAGGTTCAACCTCGCCCCTGCCGCCCTTCTGGTTTTCTGGCAGGAACAAGAACAAACAGCTATCTTCCCCTAAACCGACCTCAAAGATAGCTAACAGTCCCATATACGACAAAGAGGTCAACCATGGAATTCACGAAGCCCGAATGCTGTCATTTGATGCAGCTGTTATGTCGGTTTCTCAAGAATTGGACCGAATTAAAGAGGATCCACAAGAAGAACACTTTATGGAGGCAAAAAACACTCCAAATCATCACCATTTTCATGAGATTGAAGAAGAAGAAACCGAAACCAGCAAATGGGAAAATGGTTCGAGTTCAAAGTTATGTTCTCAGACAAAAGAAAGTGCGATTCGAAGGGAAACCGAGGGGGAGTTCAGATTATTGGGAAGGAGAGAAGGGAATAGATTTTCGGGAAGTAGACTTTTCGGCGTCGATGAGATTGAACAGGCTGGAAGTAAAGGAAGAAGGGTATCGTTCACCATAGAAGAACAGAATAAAGAGTTTTTAGCCACAAATGTAGAAGATGATGATTATATAACCGATGGAGATTATGTTGAAGGGCAAGAATCGAGCAGAAGGGAACCCGAGATCTCGTGTAAGCATCTTGATCATGTAAACCAGTTGGGTCTCAATAAGACCACTCTTCGGCTAAGGTTTTTGGTCAATTGGCTTGTGACCTCACTGCTTCAGTTACGAATTCCCGGTTCAAACGGGCAAGAAAGCGTGCCGCTGGTTCATATATACGGCCCGAAAATCAAATACGAAAGGGGTGCTTCAGTGGCATTCAACGTTAGAGACAGAAAGAAAGGTTTAATCAATCCTGAAGTGGTTCAGAAGTTGGCTGAGTCAAACGGGATCTCTCTTGGCGTAGGTATACTTAGCCATATACGGATCTTGGATAGCTCAAAACGGAATCCAAATTCCGAAGATACGACACTTTGCAGGCCGATGGAGAACGGAGGGCATAATGGGAAAAACGGGTTCATTAGAGTTGAAGTGGTGACTGCTTCTTTGGGGTTTTTGACTAACTTTAGTGATGTCTATAAACTATGGGCTTTTGCTGCAAAGTTCTTGAACCCAGATTTCAACAAAGAAGACGGGCTTTCGACTGTTGTGGAAGACGAAGAATAAACAAGGCGTTTTTGAGGTTTAGAAAAACTCGAATCCGAATGATCTTCTGGGCCTGATTCTTTTGCTCTCTCGATGTCATTCTTGGAAGATGTATTTGTTCATTCTTATGTTTTTAGTTCGCGTTTTTCGTGATTTTGATTCGTTATTTCCTGATATTGTGGGGGGGTTATCATAGAGTTTCGGGTTTAGAATAGATTTTATACATCGCCTGAAACTGCGAAATCGAATGGAGAAATACCCCCCTACTTGATGAACTTTTGAGCTATATGAAATCCAAGTTGATTATGCTTTGCTTGAATGGATCATGCTTCTTGAAACTGCATTCTTAGAATGGCAGATTTGGGTTACAAAGTTGCATGATCTTTCAAGAAAAGATTTTGGGTCTAAATCTTTTTGATCTGTTTTGTTAGAATTTAATTTTTAGTGTGATATTTGAATGGTGTTCTAAAAGGCGCATCGCATGTGGTCCTTGTGGCACGTCGTGACTCAAGAAGTTGTGGACTGGTTAACGGTGAGAATGTAAGATATGTTGAGAAGGTAAGAAGTGATCTTCATCCTTGGATTGATCCTAATTGAAGGTCAATCTAGATGAGGTATATCGAGATGCACCGGATCAATTCATGTATCAAGCGCAATTCATGGGGTGGGAGTGAGATTAAAAGTGATCAAGGGTTCAGATCCCTCTTATGCTTCTCACCTTAACTCCTATTATCACACAATCATTCATCTTTAAGTTGTTTAACATATACATATATATAGTCAAGTTCATACGAGAACAATAACCAATCAAGAGAATAAAAAAACGGTCGAATCACATGTGATTTTTACATTATATCACTTGTGATTCATGCTCAGGTAACAGGCCACGTTGACCGCACACCTTTTTGTTGATCGGTAGTGTAAAGTCATGTGATTTTACATGTGTTCTGACCGTGTTCGTGTTATTTTATTTAGTTACTCTTCTCGTTTGGATCTCTCTCTCTCTCTCTCATACACACGCATATTTGTTATCATAAATCATGCATTGAAAAACGTTATAATCTCGTCATTGACTCTTTAATGTTTGAGCCTTGTCGTCATACCATGTCTCGCCTCACTTAAAAAGTTTGAATCCATATGGATTTTAAAAGTATTTTTGATGTGGATTTTACCATTAGCTTTAAGGATTGTAGGTCATAGCTAGCAAGCTTGTTTGCCACATACATAGTGCCATATGCCTTGATCATTGGACTGCCACTTTCTTTTGGAACTCAAAATGTAAAAGTTCGATTTCTACTTGTTTTGTTAACCGTGTATATTCGTATCAGTTTGCACATCTCGATTAATCTCATGAATCCTAAGGACCAATCAAGAAAACTCGAATCGGGTGACCTCTGAAGAAAGAGAGAGGATCAAACGAGAATGATACCTATTTAAAAGAATACAAGAATAATTCTGGACCAATCATTTCATTAAATAATACCTTAAATAATTAATTCTAAAAATAAATAACATATGTACGTATGGAGAAATAAAATTTCTCCATTTCATAATAAGGGTAAAATGGTGAAGTAGAATTTTACTTTAAAAGGTTGATACTTATAACTAAAATAGTAATATAGACACTTATTTTAAGACAAAAGAGTATTCATTTGTCAGATAACCTGCTGATTTTATAACATTTAGATACCAAACTTACAAAAATATTACATGAAACCACAAGAGTGGTGCCTGATTAGTTTGAACTTGGCTCCAAATGTCAAAAAGTACCAGGAGGTCCCAGGTTCAAATCCAAGGAGGAATAAAAATCCCCTTGTGGTGTGGCCATAGAGATTCAAATGCACCGACTCCGGTCTATCTGCAAAGCAAGTAGTCGCCCTAAAATTAGTCAGCTCGCATAGTGAATTGGATATCCAGTAAAAATAGGAAAAATTAGAAACCTTTAGAAGAGGGTCCTCTATTGTTTTGGTGATGATGGATTGCCTGCCACTTTAATGGGGAAGTAAACCAAAGATAACCTACTCCACCATTACAACAGACTTTGGGTGAAAAGATTGGAATAAAGTGGAAAATATGAAATGATGATTTTTGTACATTTTCCTCAAAAGTCATCTTTACAACAAAGTTGAGTTGACCAAGTCATTATAAAGCTTCCCAAAAAGTCTTGACAGGATTTGCGATATATCATCTCCATTTTTAGGAATCCATCATCTTCAAGAGAAATGCAGCTTCTATGGCTGACTCTTTGCACTGTAAATATCTGTTTTCTTCAACTATATCTGTGGTTAAATTGAGAAGAATTGGATGGTTTGGATTGTAAATGGTTCGTTCACGAACTCGGGCAACCCATTTTGCAGCTTCCCATACTCCGAATCTGAAAATAGAAAACAATTTATGAATCTAAACTACAACTACAGACTCGGTAACCAGATGTATCAAGAAAGAAAATATGTGACTTGGGGGAGGGGTCATTTACCAACACGAATTGTGTAAGTGCAAACCGAGTAAGAGTGTGGTCTAGGTAAGCGCCAACTAAAAACGGTTGTTCACAAAGTATATGGGTCAGTGCTGACTGAAAATGGTTGTTTACCGAGTATATGGGTAAGTGAAGACTGAAAATGGTTGTTTACAAAGTATCTCGGTAAGCGCTGATTGAAAATGGTTGTTTACCAAGTATCTTGGTAAGTGCTGACCGGAAATGGTTGTTTATAATAGTATCCGGTTTCGCCAACTGAAAGTGGTTGTTTACAAAGTATTTGGGTAAGCGGGGACTGAAAAACGGTTGTTTACAAGTATTTGGGTAAGAGGCTGTTGGGTTGGTTTTCCATTAAGTCCTGCATGGATAAAGTTGTCGGTGTAGATTAATCTGTCTGTCTAGATTGGGAAGGTTTTTGTTTAGGAAGACTTTTTCATAGATGGAGGGGGTTGTCTTTTATTGGGAGTGACAGGTTTTAGAAAAATTTGTCTTTCTGCCATAAAGCTCTCCCATAAAAGTTTACAGAATAAGTCATTTTCTATATCATTAAGCCACCACCAAACAGTTACTCTAGCTGACCGAATAAGTTGTGAGCCCATTAAGGTCATTAAGCTGCTAACAAACATGGCCAGTGTTGACTCCTGACTGAAAATGGTTGTTTACCAAGTATTAAGTATGCATTGACCGAGTCAGAAAGCAGACCCTTCCTTATTTGGTCAACATCTCGGTTAGCATATTTGTGGGTCAGAGTGTGTTGGTAAACTACATCCTTTCTTAACGAGTAAGCACCTCTTACTCTGTAAGAGGTGGCCGATAGGTAGTAAACAACCCTTTTTTAGTTTCTGAAAACAAGGATTTCAGAATTAGAAGGCGTAATAATCAACCAAATATTGGAATTTAACCTTGTATTGAACGATGAGGTGACCAAAACCGCAGGATAACGAACACCCTTTTGAATGTTTTCGTAGGGACAAAATTTCCTTATGGCTTCAAAATCCTCGATGTCACCCGGGTAGCCAAATTCTTCGTAGTCGACAGGAGTAAGTGGCAAAATGGGATAGACAAGAGTGTTACTCGGGTCCAAAAACGGAACCTAATGAAGTGAAAAAGAACGAAGATAATATTACAACTAGTAAAAGATCAAGAATAGAGCTAAAAAGTGAAAGATGATGTCAAGAATGTATGCAAATAATATATATTCTAATGATTCACACCATAGAATGACACAACTTAAGACTATGTTCGGCAACCTAACTAATAAAATATCTGTTAGCTGATAAACTAGTCATGTTTGGTAAAACTAGCTTAAAAGCTAGATGACAAAGTAAAATGACCTAAAAAGACATGTTGAAAAATTAGTTGAAACAATAAAAGGGTCATAAATAGAAAAAAGTAAAAAAAACCCCGCTTGAGCTTATTGAAACACTATTTGAACTAGCTTTATAAAAAGCTAGCTTATGGCCAAACAAACGAGGTTTTTTCAATAAGCTCAAAGAATAGGCTAGCTTATGGTTGCGAAACACAGCCTAAGGGACTGTTTGGATGGTTTCCATTAAGTTCTATTAAAGTTGTGTGGATTAATCTACCTGTATAATTGGGAAAGTTTTTGTTTCGGAAGGTTTTTCTCATAGATACAATGAGCATGTTTTTTAATTGGGAAAAGCGGGTTTAGGACAAACTAGGCTTTCTGCATAAAGTTCCTCCTCAAAGCTTACTGGATAAGCCACTTTGTACATCATTAAGCCACTACCGAATAGTCATGCATAGTTGACCGAATAAGTTGTGAGTCCTATTAAGCTCATTAAGCTGCTAACAAACAGACCCTAAGCCTTAAAAGGTGCTTATTTGCCAAATATGTTTTATGAAGCATCATAATGTACATATGAAAGGCGATCCCACAATACTTGCACAATGCATTGGGGAAACGAGAAACCCGATATATCGAGTTATAACGTACCTTCAGAACGGCAGCACGGAATAAATCTGGACAGCAATTAATAGCTGAAGCAACCAAGAGTCCTCCAGCACTATATCCCCAACCTGCAAGCTTGTTTTGATGCACAATCTCCCTTTCAACAAGAAATTTAGCACACGAAATATAATCCTTGATAGAATTACGTTTTTTAGTCCGTCTACCATCTTCATGCCACCTCCTTCCTCTGCCACCTCCACCCCTAAAATTTGAACACAAGAAGTGAAATCAAGAAACTAAAGTTCGTTATATTATACAACCAAGGGAAGGTAGAAATAAAAACCGTAAATATTTTGAGAACCTGTGAACCAACAATTCGTGTTTTATTCATAATGGATGTATATACATATTCATGATGAAAAATTCATGATGAAAAATTCATGATGAAAATGCATGATATCTAATATAATGAAAATACATATTCGCTTTGTCCCAAAGTAAGTGTCTATATTTCTACTTATATTAGTCCCAAAATAAGTGTCCACTTTCAAAATTCATAACTAAATTTCCAAATCCACCCTTATTTAATGCACATACATATTTAAGAGTTGATAAGATAGATAAATTAATTATAAGAGAAGTTGTCATTGGGTTAACTAAAAAGGGTAACAACTACTCATGTCTAAAACTGTGTGCCATTTCTATTGTAGACGCTTTATTTAGGAATGAAGTAATATTTCTAATGAATAACCAATACTAAGGGTTATTCATCATGAATATTACATGAAATAGTTGGTTCCCCACTTCTCAAAATATATATGGTTCTCATCTGAACTTTCCTCTATACAGCCATTGTTGTCTAGTTTCCTTGTTATCTAATCATATTTCCCTTTATATCCAAAACAATATATAGTGAATATGAGCAGTATTTTCTAGCAAACTAACCTAACATCAGCATATGCGATAACCCAACCACGATCAAGAAGGCTTTTTAACTCACTACGCCATCTTTTGTCGAGTAACTCACCGTAAGCACCATGTCCATGAAGTAATCCAGGATTTTCACCTTCCTTCTTTCTTTTGTGTGAATAAACGATAGTTAGAGGAACTGTAACTCCATCAGAAGAAATGACTTCATGTTGTTCACATGCATAAAACTCAGAGAGATCATTCCATGAATGGTCATCTTCTGAATTAACTTCATTATCGGGGACTGAAATTTCAGATATATTAATAGTGCTGCCCGTAGAAGCTGTACCATACAAAACACGGGTCCTCTCCTGGAGCAAATTATGTTGTTGAATGATTTCCCATTTACCGGTTGATAAATCGTAATCAACAACTGCATCAGGCATCTACAAGAAAGACAAGGAGAGCATCATATTTTTTAGCAAAGCGAGATGTTAAATAGCCAAGAGAAATCAATTTCATTGATTCTATAACACATTAAGGAGAACCCTTCACATTTTTGTTGTTTAATAAAAAAGCATGACTTGTAAATCAAACTGAATGCTAAAACCAAACCAAACAAAACAAACCCAATATATCTCACTTGAAGGTAGGATCTGGAGTAAGATATATGCACACCTTACCTCTAAAATACAGAAAGCAGGACCATAAACCATACATTTGAAAATAAAGTTTTTTTATGAAAAAAATAAAATGCAAAGAGCCTACCTACCTAAAAAGCACACAGAACACAACAAAGAAAAACATAATTATACTACTATCGAGTTACTGTTTGATTGGTTTTTAATTAAGGTCTGTATGGATAAAGTTGCGTGTGTGGAATAATCTGTCTTTATAGATTGAGAAGGTTTTTGTTTGCGAGAGGCTTTTTTCATAGATGGAAGGAGCGTGTTTTTTAATATGGAGATGGATGTCTGGAAAAAACTTGGCTAGTCTGCATAAAGCTCCTCCCTAAAAGCTTACTGAATAAGCTATTTTTTATATTATTAAGCCACTACCAAACAATCATATATAGCTGACCGAATAAGCTGGATGCATTTTTGTTACCTTTGGTGAGGCTTGAACCATTGACCTCGTGGAAGGCTGGGCTCTACCAATAACCCAAGTACCACTGGGCCAATGACCCTTTGGTCGCCTTACTTATTTCCTCACTAACGCTATCTCCAAACATCATCACCCTTTCATGTCATTTGGTGGCATTGAGCAATTTGCTTTGCTAGTCTATGGATCCTAATCAATGGTTACCGTTGAAGTTGTTTATGCTTGCCAGGTTGCATTATAATGTCGGTGTGTGTAGTGCAAATTTCAAGAACAAGTTTTATATTGATTATATATTTTATTGTTCTTATAACATATGAGCCAAGCTAAGCCAAGGCATATGAGCCAAGCTAAGCCATATGATATTGAGTTATTGAATCCCTCTCAATCCTCTCTTCATGTTTTTCATCTACAAAGATAAAATATAGCATAAGTAGAGCGATAAAATTTTCTATTTCTATTTGTATTTCTATCATAAATATCGTATGCACTCTATGGTTGTCCAGCTAATTTACATCAGAGCAAATAACTTTGGGCTGTTAGATAGATAATTGTCATCGAGCATGTCATGCATGAGAAACAGAGACCTATTTAACATCTGTACATACTTGAAGGCTGCAAGGCACAATTTTCAAATCAATAATCCAATCCAACAAGGGGGATTGTTCATTATTCAAAAGTACCATAATCCGAAATCAACATCTGATGTTGATTTTTGCCGTTTCAATATAAAATCTGCCCGTTAGACTACGTTTTCAAGAAAAACAAACTGACAGGTGAGGAATCGGCTATAGGTCACCTACCACAGGTGAAGAAATGGTAAACCGCATGACTGAGGAATAGAAGTCATAATTCGGTCCAGGTGAGATCTGGGAAACCGACTCCGGAAGAGGTAGAAAATGTGGACAGAATTCTCTGAGATGGACCATACCCTGTTACACAAAGTGATAAAAGATCTTATTTTATAGCCAGGACATGAGGTAACGTTATATAAAAGGATCAATTCTCACAAAATTTATGAAAGCACGTCACTTGCAGCATAATACCTTATTGTTTGGCAGAGGCAGTGCAACTGAACAAAGTCTGAATCTTCCACCCTCTCTGACAGTAAGAACCACATGTGAGTTGCAGAAGTCAGCATCCTCGATGATCAAGTCTTTGTCATCGATAAATAAACTCTGTAGCCAAAAACAAAATATAAAGCACAGTAACGAAACCACATCAAGAAATGAAATAACCATCTGGGTGTTGCAAAACACACGTGGATGACATTTACAATGAAACTGTACTTTTTATAATTAGTTTTTCTATTATATGTCATGCTAATAATTTTGTGCCCCACTTGAAAAGAAATTCTGAATCCTTCTCTAATTGTAATAATCATCCATCCAAGACTAACCTCCCACTTTCTTGGACCAGAAAAATGCAGAGAACTTCGGAGGAGATAATGGCAATCGACTGACTGACCACCTCTGTCAGCATTGGTAAAAAGATAAAGATATCCTTGATGATGCTCGATAATGCAATGTGCACACACCTCACACTCCCACACAAGGGTCAAGCCAGAGAGTGGATCAGCTGCATTGATTAGAAAAACCTAAAAGAACAGTTGTAGTTCACTTGCTTGTTGAAAGATAAATAAATAATAATGTGTACAAGTTGCAGCCTATGAATAGTATAATACCTTTGAATATGTGGTTGAGAATACATTTACAGTAATAAACCTGAAATCCTTAGTATGTCGAATTTTAACATGCACATTTTCTGCCAGTTCTTCTAAGAGTATCACATCTTCATCCTTTGATCCAAGCATGCTACAGTATAATCTAAACCGCAAAGCAAATAAACAAAGTCTTAATACATAACTATATATATGTGTGTGGGTGTGTGTGTGTGTGTGTGATCAAGAGGAAGTTCAAACGAGAACCATAAACATTTTGAGAACTTGGAACTAATTTTCATGTATTATTCATCATGAATATCATGCATTTTTATTATGAATATCCACCGTGATATTCATGATGAATAAAACATGAATAGTTGGTTCACGTGTTCTTATTAGAATAATTAAGGTTCTCATTTGATCGTGCTCCTACATAATCACTTTAACATAGAAGATATACAAAATCAAGAATTGTTATATTGTCAACCTGTACGGCTTCTTATTTTGATCAGTGACAACATATAGCAATGCTTGACCGCCCATAGCCCAGGCCACGTTACACACCCAATCAGCTTGTGGCTTACTACAAAGCGAACCGAAATTCAAATCCCTCACACATAATTTAAAGAAATCATTGTCCTTATCATACATGGTGTATGCAATAAATCGATGATCAGGTGACACTTCTGATAACTCCTCATATGCATATCCTATCAAGTCATATTTAGAAATTAAACCATCACCAATTAAGCACCAAGTTAATGATTGGAACAATATAAGATTGCAATTACCCCCAAATCTTTCTGCTTCTTGATTGTAATCAATAAGCTTCTGTTCAATCCTCTTCCCAGATCTGAAATCGAACCCAGCAGTCGGACTTTTGTGAGAAATGAACTCATCATTCAGGCTAGCTAATCTCCTACAGAGTATCGGATATTGCTTCCCTTCCTCCACTCTCCTATAATACAACCTGAATTCCACCTCCAATTTGCAAAAGAACACATAATCTGAATTCAAATCCAAACTCAAAATAAAACTGGATTTTGAAACCAAACCCCCAGCGGCCCCAACCACCAAGGAATACAGATGAAAAGCTAAAACAGAGAGATGGAAATTGAAGGTACCAGGGACCCCAACGAAGGGGAGGAGTAGAGAGCTGAGAAGACATGCGAGACGCCATTTCCGATTGGAGTTTGGATTGGAGTCGATCGGTGTCGGATAAAACGGCTTCGGTGTACTTTTCTTCTTGCTCCATGTACACGTCCATGTGACGCATCGCCACTTTATCATTGAGATTCGACATCCAGCTGTAAGTATCTTCCCATGTGTGGTCGTGGAGGGTGAAGGTGGCGGGTTTTTGCGGTGGTTTTGGGGGTCTTGGTGGTGGTTGTGGAGGCGGTGGTTTATGGGGTTTGTAGTGAGCGGAGGCGAACCAAATGGTAAGATAGGGGTTTAATCGACGAAAGAGATGACGGTGATGGTGTCTCAGAGTTGTTAACATGGTGCACGGAGAAGACGCCGGCGATGTCACCGGAGTGTTGCTAGGGTTTAAGGGGGGTTTTGCGTTTGTTCTGTTTTTAAAAGGTATAATTGCAAAATAAGTCCCTATACTATAATCAATTTATCAAAAGAGCATATCAAACAATTTTCAAAAGAGCTTACATAATTATATAATTAAATGATAAATTAATTGTTAACTGATAAATTAATTACATTTGTTATATACTAATTGATAAATTAGTTGATAATATCAAATAATTTAAAATTCTAAAAGTTACGTAATTTTAACAAAAACATAAGAGTATTCATGCAATGCAGCAAGATGCATTTTGATTTTAACTAGTTGTGTACCCGCACAATGAACGGGAGCCGTGAATTTTAATGATTTTGAAGTTTCGCTAGTTTTATTAGAAAAGATTTAATGATTATATAAGTTATACTTGGTCTTTACATATCAATACAATTTGAATAAATAAGAGTTAAGGTTCCAATTACAATCTATTGATGAAAAAAATTGTATGACAATTTAAAATCCAATATATTTAAAATCAAACATATTTGAACGAAGAGCAAATAATCAAGAGATCGAGAGCGAGACCAATAGTTCTAGAACAATTGAATGAAAGATGAATGAGATAACTTTTARTAACTCGTGATGAATATCAGTTTGAATCTCACCTTGGGGATGGGGAGAAGACATAAAGGTATGAGAGGGTGAAAACATTAGTGAAATATGTCAAAAGTATATTGGGAATATGAAAAGAAAATATAATAATATGCATTAGTTATTTTAATTATATATTAATAGATTTTAAGATTGAATGCGTAAAATAGTAGTACTTAATGCAATGTGAGTTGTTTTTAAGACTTTTAAGACTTTGTGCATAAATGTATAGTATTTTGTGCATTAAAAATTGTTTTTAAGACATTTAATAAATTTAGTTTTAAGGTAGTATAGATTAAGACTTTTATGACTTTGTGCATAAGTGTATCGTACTTTGTGCAGTAAAAATTGTTTTTAAAACTTTTAATAAATGCAGTTTATAAGGTAGTATAGATATTTCATTTTATTTTATCTCATGTCGATGTTATAATACGATTTTATATGGTTTTTAAAAAAAAAGATAATGTTTTTATTTTTAAATTAAATATAAATTTGAAGATATCATAAAAGAATTTAAAAAATATATCGATATTAGTATCAAATTAACTATCTAAAAGTTCTTGTTTTATTGTGTAATTTCTTTAATTCAATTTTTTTATTATAATTTAATTTGGGTTTAATAACGAAATAATTTATTTTTAATTCAATAATATAATCTTTTATAAAGATAATAATTAAGTATTTTGTTCAAACACAATGATTATCTTAATTAGATTTTAATTTTTTTATATTTAAAACGAAACATTTATCCTGTATTTGATTATGTTTATCTGCAGTTAGTTACACGAATTAAAGCATGGATTTTTAATAAGTTATACTTATGCATTATTTTTTTTATAATTTTGAATTTTAAATAATATGCATCAATAAACAATATTTCATGTATAAAAAATGATTTAAAAAAGTTTTTGTCAAATGTTTTATAATATAATTTTGATAATGTAGTAATTAAAACATATAATTAACATATTTCATCATATTAAAATAAACAAATTTTTTATTAATTTCTGAATTTTTATTAAGAAAAAAGGGAAAGCAGAATAAAGGCATCGAGAGGGATATGTGAGAAACAAAAAACGTTCCAAGATCCAAAAAAAGACGAAAACAAAAGAGACAAAAACAAACTACATACGACAAGCAAACACAAGAAAATCATAAAAATGGTACAGAATTATACCTCGAAAAAAACCGATTTGTTACAAAATAAATTACCGGTTAATGTAATCAAATTTTAGAAGATTTATTACCTTAAATAATGATTTTAGTCAATTAATTCAAAAAAATATTTGATTGATAATTAAAAAGTAAATATTTTGTAAAATATTTTTTTATAAAATTTTTAAAAAATATTTTTTATTAATTAGATAAATATATATCATTTATACTATACTATAAAGCATTTGACAAAAAAATTTAAATATTATTTTTTATGTATGAAATATTATTTATTGATGTATATTACTTAAAATTTAAGATTATAAAATAAAAAATGCATGAGTATAACTTATTAAAGCTTTATGTTTAAATTTGTGTAACAAACTGCAGATAAACATGATGAAATACATGATAAATATTTTATTTTGAAATATAAAATATTTGAAATATAATTTGGATAATAATTGAATTATAATAAAATACTTAATTATTATTTTCATAAAAATTATATTATTAAATTAAAAATAAAATATTTATTATTAAACCTAAATTATATTATAATTAAAAAATTGAATTACAAAAGTTACACAAAAAACGGAGGATTTTTAAATAATTAATTTTGATATTAATTTACTCTTCCATTTCATAACCCCCAAAAAGTTGAATTATTTTGAAGCAAAAAAACAGGGTCTAACCATGGAGTCCCACCGTCGTTTGAGTTTTCCGGCGGATCCTTTCAACTTCATCAGCATCATCGTCTCCAACGATATTAAATCTGCAAGAATCGTAAGTTTGCATTCTCTTTACTTCTCGATTCATGTATTCTAATCCCTTTTCCCCCAAAAATTGATTTAAGAATTTGTTTTCACCTTCACTTGCATTCCCTAATCCAGTCGTAAAATTGAAAAAAAAAAACAGAAAATACCTGAGAAATTCACAGAGAGGCATGGGGGGAATCTGCCAGAAACGGTGACATTGAAGGTACCAAATGGTGATATTTGGCAAGTTGATCTCATAAATTCAAATGGTGCAATTCGGTTCAGTAATGGATGGATGGAATTTGCAGAGCACTACAATTTAAGATTTGGGCATCTTTTGATGTTCAAGTATGAAGGGTTATCGAACTTTAGGGTGTTGATTTTCGATCCAAGTGCTTGCGAGATGGTTTATCCCAAGAACAGGAATCATCAATTGGCTTATAATTCTACAGAAATCAAGGCCAGAAGTAGTTTGGATTCTTGTATAAAAGTCAACTTGGATGACTCGAAGGAGACGGTAAAATTAGAACAAGAGGCTTGTTCTTCATGGGGCCAAGATCATGAAACTAAAATCAAGATTGATGGTTTGTTTCTACTTTTAATTCTTGTTTGATCATTTAATTTGGTGATAAAAATCTTGAATATAGACTATAAAGATTCAAATCACTAAGTTTTTGGGCAAAAAGTTGATTACCTGCAACCCCAACCAGACTCACATGGGACCCGCCTCCAAAGGCACCAATGTGACGATGTGAGGGGGAAATTTTTTTGGCTCCCTCAGCGGCTGAGGCTAACGGGAGCCTGGGACTATCTTGTATTTGGGTAAAGTCATGCAGTCCCTTTTCCAACTGAGCTACATGTCAAAGGCTGGATGTGTTATTAATCATGAATCACACATTCTTGATGAATATGTAACAAGTCCATACTCCATATTTCTGATAAACATGTCACGTGTTGCGTTATGAAAATGAGGTTCCTAACGGACGCCTCCCCTATACCGTTCCCTTCTAACTTTTTCGCAAGAAGGATGATTATTTGTATGCAACGAAAGATTTATTGGTTCAATTTGAATTCTTTCCGATGAAGGTGAACGTGAAGGTGAATATTTAAGTACGAGGGTAAAAGAAAAGGGAAGAAAGAGAGCAATTGAAGCAGCAAAAGCTAGATTTGCATCTAACAAGCCTTTCTTCATGGTTTACATGACTCCATTTCACATTGTTGGAAGAGTTAATGTGGTAATGTTTTTAAACTTACTTCTCACTTATTATAGCTCAAGTCAGCTGAATCAAACGAACCCAGTAAATCCCACATTCATGCATAATATAGCCCAACTCGACTTGTGACCATTCATTATCAAGATTGGTGCATGATTCTAAGTTTGTTGATATTCGATGTTATTATTATAGTCGTGGGCGGTTTAAATGAGAAGGCTAAATATTATGAGAAGGTAAGACGGGAAAGTTAAAGAAAGGTGCATATGTGAATCACTAAAAAATACGAATTTTTTTATTTGAAGATGCATATGTGAACCGACGTTACAAATTATCCATATGGGTTCACATATGCTTCTTCAGATAGTCTTTTTCAATTATTCACATATGAACTTCCCTTACCCTTTCTTTCTTGTCTTCTCACGATATTTAGAAACTGTCGAGATGTTTGGAAGGGTATCCCGGGTTATGTCTGGACCAATCCTGATAAACTCGGTAAGACATCAACCTGGATAAACTCAGGGTAAATTGACCAAAATAGCCAATCTCTCCAACTAACTTCACTTTTTAACCACTTCTTTAAGGGAATTCCCATTTTAGCCGGAGTTTACGCAGATTTCTTATGCACTTGAGCCTATTAAAAAATAGAAAAAAAAACTTGCACAAATTTGCGTAAAGATCAACATTTGCATAAAGAATTTGTGTAAGGATCCCCATTTTTGTAAATATTTTTTTCTTTTTGTTAATTTGGTTCCAAAAATGGCTAAAAAGTGAATTTGTTTGGAAAAAATTGGTTATTTTGGTCAATTTCCTAAACTCAGTGACAATAATTGTTGTGGATGCTTGAAATGAAATCGAACCCGGGGCAAATGGGGTATTCCACTACATCCCACTAGACCTCAACAAATACGCCACAACCCTCTGTGATCCTGTTGGAGATGTTTTAATCAAATCAACCAAAATACGAAAGTCTCGTAATCTAATGATGTTTCAGCTTGGACTTGGACACTTTCTCTACAATATATGTCGTAATCTAATGGTGTTTTCGGGATGGATGCAGCGTATACCGTTATGGTTCATGAAGGAAAACGGGAGTGGTTTAAAGAAGGTTGAACGATGTGTGCTTAGGGTTGGAATGGATAAGAGATATAAGAAATGGGAAATTGATCTAAGTGATCGTGCTTTAAGGATGGGTGGTTGGAAGATGTTCATGAAGGATAACGGTGTCTCTGTTGATGATGTTTGTGTTTTCGAGTTGATCGATCCCCATCAGAACTTGCTTAAAGTTACCATTTTTAGAAGTTCGATTTAGTACTAGGTTTTATGGGATGTAAATATTGTTCTTTTTTAGAAACTGGTTGATGAATGTATTTGGTACAATCGAGTTATGTAAATGAATATGATTATGCAAAAATGGTTTTATGTTTTATTTATTTTAGGGGTTCTGGACCTTCTGGTTACTGGGTAAGTGTTTATCTTATTGGTTGAGCGTGTAACAAGAATCGAAGAATTTTAACTGGCAAGTGGCAAGCAAAGGCCAAGAATCTTACTGGCCAAGTGAGTGAGAAAACTTTTATCCGGTTTTTCATTTTGTTATGTTATTTTTAGAATGGAACGGTAAGTAATGGTGGTTGATTTCATTTCATTTATTTGTGTTTGTTTATGCTAAATTATGTTCGTTTGTTTATAGTCGTTTAGCATCTTAACGAACGAACATAAACGAACACGAACAAGCACAATTTTTTAACTAGCGAACACGAACATAAAAAATTTTGTTCGTTTATTATTTGTGTTTGTTCACTTGTTCGATTATAATAAACGAACGAACACAAATAGACCTTCGTTCGTATCCGTTCAGTTCGTTTACAACTCTACTTATTTCACATAAAAGACTAAAAAAATAAAATGTCGATTTAACGAATTTTTTCTTAACAAAGTTGGTCAAAAGAATGAAAAAGGCAATAAAATGCAAATTACAGGGATGATCAATGCAATTTCAAAAGTACAGGGACCAAAGTAGAAAATTTTGACAAACCACAGAGAACAAAAACATAGTTTACTCTAAAAACGGGTGGTTGAATGAATATTTTTGTAAAGTTAAGGGGTGTAAATGAAAAGTATGGGAAACCAAAAATTATAAACTCCATGACCAATTCCACCGTTCCCATCGACTGTACCTTCTTCGGGTTGGTTGCGCCGCCGTCTTCTACCGCTTCTACGATAGTCGGAGACTCCATTACCAGATTCGGTACCACATCGCTTCACCGCCACCAGATTGAGAGAGATTTGGAATTTAAACGCAGATGTATTAGACAGTCGATCGTAAACCTTTTTACAATTTCGATTGCAACCACTATTCGTGGAACTGGTTGCTTCTGAATTCTTCTTTTATGCTGTAATTGATCAAGTATGGTAGCGTTATTTTACAACTCGGTGTCAAAACCTTTTCCATTGAGGTTTTTGTAGGGTTTTGCGTGCTAAATTCAGATGGACAATAAAGCAATGGAGGAACATCAGATAGGAGGCTCAAATTGTGAACAATTGCCTCAGTTCTTCAAGTTCTATATGCCTGCGCATTGCTCTACGCAACTGGTGATTGCCTTGTCATTTGTTCTATCTATTTTTATTATTCGATCCATCTATAATTCCATGTTTGATCGATTCCATATTCCGTTTCGTAGTTCACTTGGTTATCGAAAAGCGATTGACAGAGAAAACTAAATATCAATAAACAGATTCAATTGGAAAGTAGAATTGATTGATGTTTAATTGAACGTGTACTCTTTTAGTGGTTTTCTTTATCTTTCTGTGTTCACCTATAAAGTTAACTAATGACATTTTGTGATTAAGAATCTTCAACTAATTCTCTACAGATAATGCTCCTCCAATCCACAAATTAGAGCTCATTTCACAACAATTTCTGATATTTGACGATATATGTGATTGTTTGGGTAATTAAATCGAAGGATGATCGAACAATCTAAATCAATATTGTGATTGAATGGGTATGGTTAGTTTCAATTTCTACTGCTTAGTTCTTACTATGAAATTAAAATCAAGATGTAAGAATGTAGATTATAACTTGATGATCATCTTGCCCTCCCTAGGGGCCCAAAATTTTTCCTTAGTATATAGTAGTAGTCTAAACAAATAACACAAAATAGACCAAAAAGATGTAGTATATGATAAGAGGCAAAAAGAATTTAATAGATAATAAGACCGAAAAATATATTAACTAATTACATTGCAGAAGAAAATCAGAAAAAATAAAAAATTGGTTATTTGTTATATGATGTTACTTATTGCCTCTCTAATATTTTAATTGGTACCAAGGTTTAACGCTGTTGGCTATTGCTATCTCTATATGTTTAACTGTTTTCGTGCTCAACAATACAACGGATGACAACTTAAGCTCATGTGTTTGTTATTGCTATATATTTTTGTTGGCTATTTTTATCTATTTCCGCTCCTATTGATTATTGTTATTTGCTTGTTGTTTGTGTAATTGTTTTTGTTGGCTATTGTTATCTATTTTTGTTTTTACGTATGATATTGTACTATTGTTTGATGATTTATTTATTGTTCTTATGAGTTATGATGTGTTTCATAGTTTAGTGATTAATCAATAAATTTTCCGTATTAAACGTATTCAATAATGCATTTTATATATGTCATGTTCCATAAACTTTTAATCATAACATTTTATTTTAGTAGAGTAAGAAAAGAAGGAAAAAATAAATTCAAATATTTTCATCGATTGTTTGACATTTTCATCTTTCATTGGGATTCTACTACACACCAAAAGATTCTATTAAAGTGCTCAAGCAACATTCATTGAGCTTGTAGATTATAGGTATCATTCATTATTTATTCTTATTGGATTTTAACAAATCATCTTTTTTCCACATTCTTGGTGGTCCTCGTTTCTCTACTTGTCTAGAAAACTTTAATAATCCTCTCTATCATTGTTCTCTCATTGACTCTCTTGATTACTTCCTCCACACAAGTTATCTTTTTACATCAAAATAACAAATATTTCTTGTTATGACCTAAGAAAATTATTACCTTTTAAAAAACTTACCAATCATTGGAGATGGTTGAACCGATATCTTTATTTTAGGACTTCAAAACGATCCGTGATTTTTAATACACTATACTCTTGGTTGCTAATTACCCAATAAGCAATACATAAATCTTAACTACTTTCTTATCTATAATAAAGAAAACTAAGATTTCTTTGTACCATGAATTATTAACATTTCTTGTATTCAGTTCTATTACTCATGGAAAAACATTTATTGAGTTTTTTTTTTCGTTCTTATCAAGGGCCCGGGCCTATAAAATGTAAGGAACGGGTCTGCTTCATAGTTTATAAGTACATAAACAAACCATTCAGGGCTCTTATTCTGGAATTGTGAGATGATGGAGTATGCTTAATTTCATTTCAGTTCTTATTCAATGTTATATATAAGAAGAAGAATGTAGGTTCTGATTTGATGGCCCTCCTTGTAATTTGTAAATTACAGACACATATAATCACCTCATATAGGGTAGCAGTTGATTATATGCAAGCTTGTTACTGTATGTACCACCTTCCCCTGAATTATGTTTTATTTTTGTTTAATTACAGCAAATACCACCTGCATTTGTCAACTACTTCAAGGATTATTTACCCTTGAAGTTTGTTCTTGTGACTTCTGGAAAAAAGTCATGGGAGGTGGACATGAACAAGGTTGATGATGATGTGTATTTCAAAAGAGGATGGGAGGAATTTGTGCAAGATAACTCACTGACGTTTGGTGATTTCCTTATGTTTTACTATAATGGTGGATCGAAATTCTTTGTTAGTGTATTTGGAAATAATAACTGTTTGAAGGAGATTGAGGTTTTAAATAACCAGAGTGAACAGCAACCAACCTGCATCCAATTAGGGGATGAAGCAAACAGAACTGGTAAACATCCAGGAACAAGTTTCTAAGATATCATAATACAATTTGTTGGAATGTTGCTGCATAATCTGTTGGGATTGTTGGCGTGCAGGCGAAACGAAGATAATTTCTGTTGAAGATACTGATTTGTCATTTGAAGTAACGCTGCAGCGAACTTATATCAATAAGGGATGTGTCGTAAGTAATTTCTCTTTATAGTTTCATCATGGTTTTTCCAATAGTTTCACCTATGTGATTCTTGATCTTTTGATAGTTAATAATATGGTTAAATTGCTACAGTAAAGGTTGTATGAGTTCACACAGACATGCCATAATGCAGAAAATATCTATATATATGAAAAAGGATTGTTCACATCAATGTCTAAGCATTCTGTAATTCTGTGTATTATGATTAACAAATATTTATATTTGCATAATTGCAAAAAGAAAAGATATTTGATATGGCCCTGTTTTATGGCATTATGACTTGTTCTAAGTTCCCCTCTAGAGTTTAGAATGCACTCACTTTAGAACTTCCATGGTTATTGATTCAATGGTTCAATCTTTAGGAGGAAAGAGATTTGGGATTTGGGTGTTGGTGGCTTTTGTGATAAGAAGGGTGGTGTGAAGTGAAAAGTAATTTAAAGATAAGACCACCGGAAAAAGGGAAAAATTACCATCCATTTCCAAAATCTTGAAATTAGGATTATAAAACTATCTCCAACCAGGACCTCTAGTAAAACACAAGAATATGGGGCCATCCCCAGTAAAACTCAAAATTCTAAACCATTGTACATAATTTTTAGAGGCCATGAATAGTAGACCTTGAATATATAAACCTCCTTTAAATTACACAAAAAAAATTAATGTTTTAGTGATGGGTTGGAGCGGACATGACCTCTATTTTAGTGTTTTAGTGGTGGGTTGGAAATGCCTAGAGTATCCAAAGCGGTGGATTTTTCATTAGTGTTTTTGCTATTCTTTTCCTAAATGGTACCCACAAGAGAAGAACAAGCGTATTGAGAGTTTGTAACTCAGACAAACAAAAAGTTGGGTTCTGCATATGTGAAACGTAACCAAATTGCTCTCTAAAGTAGCTGGTTGTATTGTTCTAACATATATTGAGGATCCAACGCTAGCTAATTAGGACTAAACGCCTAGATGCAAAATTTGAAATTTTGTTTTGAAGAAAAAGCTGATAATTTTGAGGTGGTTGACAAATTGTGGTTCATGTAGCACATGCCAAAGGTGTTTTACGATCGTGTGAAAAAGTTTAGACCGATTGCCAAGCTTCAACATTCTGGACGGACATGGGACGTGAAGGTGTCTATCAGCAGTGAAAGATACGGGTTTACAAAAGGCTGGAAGAAGTTTGTGACGGAGAACTGCGTGGCAATCGGAGATATTTGTTGTTTTAAGATGATTGACATTAAGCCAAAGTTCTATTTGCTGGATGTGTCTTTTTCTAGGGAAATATAGAGTTGTCGAATGTTGCACAAGTTTTTTATTTCCCTTTTTGGTAATTGTGAATGTTCAGGACAACTTGCACTCACCTTGATTAATCCCGTGGGATCTGAAAACATTCAAAGAAAATCCCAAGTGGACTTAGAGGATGCTATTTGATTGCCTTACTTGGTGGCCTTGATTTTGAAAGATTTACCTTTTCTCCTTGGTTGTTAATGAATCCTTATTGAATTCATTCTAATCCATCTTCAGAGGACATCGAAGACAACTATTTGCAATGGTGGTGTCTGATTGGTTTGAGTTTGGCTTCAAAGGTCAAAAGTACCAGGAGGTCACAGATTCAAATCCAAGGAGAAATAAAAATCCCCTTGTGGCCACGGAGGTTCAAATGCAGTGACTTCGGGCTATCTGCAAAGCATGTGGTTGCCCTGGAATTAGTCGGCTCGCATAGTGGGTTGGATATCCAGGTTAATAAAAAAAAAAGACAACTATTTGGAAATTATTGAGTTAATTATATATTTCGTACCTCGTAAGTACCTTCTTTTTTTGTTTTCGTCGCTCAAAATCATAAAATATACTGGTCATCCAAAAATCGTGTTTCAGAGTCCAAATTGGTCCCTCCCGCTAACAACATTAGAGGAGGTCTCCTAAGTCCCCCCTCACAATTTAGTCTTTTTACACCATTCTTTAGTTATTTTTTTTATTGTACATGCCTTCAATACAAATGTGTAAAGCAAAACAGAAAAGAATAACACATATTAAAACCCTCCCTTATCACCGCTAAAAAGACTAAGTTGGTCCCTCAACGAGGGGGCACATGATGGACTTAACGGGCCTTCTCTAACGGTGTTGTGTTAGTGGGAGGACCAGTATGTGCTTTAAAACATGACTTTTGGACCATCAGTGTATTTTATGATTTTGAGGGATAAAAACCAAAAAGAAAATATCCACAAGGGACCAAATATGTAATTCGCTCTTTTTTTAAATATCATTCTACCATTTGAAATTCTTTAAGACCATCAAGTCACAATCGCAGCGTTTATGTCCTTGTAGCCGTAGTTGAAGCTTTAGTTCTTAAGAATTTGGTTTGATCGGGCTTTTTTAAGCTAAGCTTTTCCTCCCGTGTATGCCTCTAGTATTGATATTTGGTGAGACTGTTTACCAAACGCACATTCAATACCATGTTACATTACCTTACCAGATAAATATGACAAGGAACAAGAATCTTATAAGATAAATTAATTAATTAAATCAATGTGTGTAATATAAATATAAAATACATGGATGCATGTATATTTGAAAGTATTCGGAAAAAAATCAAACTTCTCGTCGTCGTCGTCTTCAACTTTCTGGTTTTCGTATTCTCTCTGGTGAAATCAGGTTATTCAAAAATCCAGTCTTCCTCTCCAATACAAGAACCCCATGTCACCATGTGAGTTATGTAATCATAACTACAGGTCATATTCATATTTTCCCAGAATATGATCAATTCATTTTGTATGAGAGGAAGAGATTAACGAAATCTAAAATTCAAAATCCAAATCATGAAAATATCATGGCGAAAAATCATGCACATTGATTGGAGGAATAATGGGAAATTACCCAAGAAGAAGAAGGATGATGCTGCTGATGATGATGATGATTGTTTTTATGATGCTCTGGATGAACCATCTGTTAACAACAATGGTAATTCGACTTTCAACACTGATCGACCACCGCCTCTGTCGTCTGATAATGATTCGTTGTTTGGAGATGGAATTCAATCCGATTCGTACGCTTCAGATAGATTTCATCACCAACCGAGCTCAAATTCCGATCAGACGTCGCCATTAGCAAAATCTCCGTGGTCGTCGTATACGGAACAAACGGAGTCTGCTTCTATGGATGATTATGGTAATTACATCGGATTAATGGCTTCTCTTGTTCGAGAAGAAGGACATATATATTCGTTAGCGGCGTCGGGAAATCTGTTGTACACCGGATCTTCTAGCAAAAACATTCGTGTGTGGAAGAACCGTCAGGAATATTCTGGATTCAAATCGCATAGTGGATTAGTCAAAGCCATTGTGATTTCCGGCGAGAAAATATTCACCGGCCACCAGGACGGGAAAATTAGGGTTTGGAAAGCTTCGGGAAAGGATCCGGAAGTCCATAAGAAGATCGGAACTCTACCTAATTTCAAATCGATTGTTAAGAAATCGATGAAACCGAAGAATTACATAGAAGTTAAGAGAAATCATAGCGGAATTTGGATCAAACATTTCGATGCAATTTCTAGTCTCAGTTTGAACGAAGATCATTCGCTTTTGTATTCAGGATCGTGGGACAAAACGATGAAAGTTTGGAGAGTATCTGATTTCAAATGTTTGGAATCGATTTCTGCTCATGACGACGTGATTAACACCGTGGTGACCGGATTCGGTGATTTCGTATTTTCCGGCTCGGCGGACGGAACATTGAAGGTATGGCGGAGGGAATCGCAAGGGAAACGAACGAGACATTACTTTTCGCACACGTTACTGCGGCAGGAGTTTGCCGTGACGTCGTTAGCAGTTAGTCTGGCAGGGGTGGTTTACGGTGGTTGTTCAGATGGAGTGGTGCATTTTTGGGAACACGAGAAGCTGAGCCACGACGGCGTTCTCAGAGGCCATAAACTTGCGGTTCTATGCCTAGCGGCTTTGGGAACGATGGTGTTCAGCGGCTCGGCAGATAAAAACATCTGTGCGTGGCGGCGAGAGGAGGGCGGAGGGCATACGTGTATGTATATATTAAACGGACATACCGGGCCGGTGAAGTGTTTGGCGGCGGTGGAGGAGGAGCGGCGGAGAGTGAAAAGCCATGGTGACGTTGGTGGTGGCGATATGGTGTGTATATTATATAGTGGTAGTTTGGATAAGTCGGTGAAGATATGGAGGATGTGTCAACCGAGGTGGACGACGGAGAACCCTTCGTTGCCACCACCATCGCCGCAACGGATTGATGGGTTACGGCGGAGCAGGGCAGAGGGTCAGAACAGATTATCACACCGCCGAGTGAGTAAACGGAAAAAGTAGCGATTGGAATTAGAATATTACTTGGGTGGAATTTGTTAATTTGAACATGGTTGACTACATGTTTTACCATGAATAAAAATGTTATGTCCCCATTTTCATGTTCATTATTTTTTTTTATCAGTTTGTGAAATCACATGTGATTTTACACTACAATCACATATGATTTTACACTACAATCACATGTAAAATCAGATGTAATTCTACGCGACTTTGATTGTGACTTAAGTCATGGACCAAGTCGCCTGCACACCCATACATTAACCATGTTCCATGATCACATGTGATTTCAGTGTAAAATCACATATGATTTTGGTTGTTCTCATGTTTTCTTATTTTGACTATGTTCTCATTTGAATCTCCCTGTATATATAGTTACACAACCCCCTCCCTTTGCGTCTTCTTTCTCCTTCGAGGTTCTCACTTAATCGCCAGTGAGCCTCCTTCTTCTCATGTGACACCCGTCCCATTTTCTCCTGTAACCCCCTCTTCCCCGTTAAAACCTCACATAAACCCAAAACCACAACTTTCAAAAATCCAAAAAGCAACAGATTTTCTGACATCTTTACTTTTTATCTTTTATCGATGACGGGTTGTTGGCAGGTTTCAATGGGTCTGTCTGTGCAGCTTAAACTGAAATTAAGATTTGGGTTTGATGAATCAGTATAGTAATTGCGGGATGGCAGTGGCTCGTTGAAAGGTTCTTCTTCAAGTTCGAGTTTAGGGATAATTAGGGGTACGAAAGTATACCTCGGATGATATCGTCGACAAGCAGTGTCGATCACCCATTTCAGTAGAGAATGAAATACCTCTTCAAAAGCAATGTATAACAACTTTCGAGTTTGATAAGAGGAATTGCGAAGAACTTGAAGGTGCTTAAATGGCGATTCCACTAGAACAATGAGAGAAATTAAGGATAAAAATTACTACAAAGGAAATCCGATAAGATTTAAAAGTAAAAATGTCTGAAAACCTGTGCTTTTTGGATTTTTCAGGTTTGTGGTTTTGAGTTTATGTAGAGCATCACCGGGGTAGAAGGGGTCACGTGAGAAAATAGGAAGGGTCTCGGTAGAGAAAAACGGTCTCACCGGCTATGCTGGAGACAAGATGGAATGAGAGATGTAAAGCGAGGAGTTTTTGGGAGGGAAGGAGTTGCATAAATAAATATCAGATAAATAATTAATAAAAATAAAGAAAATTCGAAACATGGTAAAGAAAAACAAAATACCGTTCATTTAACGGTTTTTTTACCAACATCGACAAAAACAACAATAAATTACGGATTTTTTAACGAAAAGAGACAAAAACGGCTACAAATTACAAACCATAAGAACAGAAATCGAAATTTTGAAACAACAAAAACACTACCTTAGACATGTTTTGCATATAATTTGACATTACCTATAATGGGGTAATTAATTTTTAAGGAAATTAACCAAAATAACAAATTCTATCAGATCGATTCATTTTTTAACCATTTTTTTAATCCAATTCCCACTATATAAGAAATGCGTAAGGTATCTGTATAAAGACCGGGCTATATTGAGAACTGGGTTGAAAAACTGGCTAAAAATGTGAGTTAGAGGTCGTTTACCAAATGCTTACCTGGGTAAGCGTTTACCAAGTCACATTACCTTACCGGATGAATATGACAAAGACCAAAAATCTTACCCGGTAAGAACGAAAGCAAGGACAGAGAGTTTTACCCAGTAAGTGATGACGACGACCCTTACCACGGTTAGCGTTTACTGGGTAAATTATTACATACGGTGTCGTTTTAATGGACTCAAATCTTATCCGGTAAGTAAACAATAGTGTTGAATTTTATCTGTAAACACCTACCGGATAAGTGTTTAGGTAAACGGCCATCTAATTGAGTGGGATTGCCTATGTTGGTCAATTTCTCTATTTTTTATTATATCTCTTTAAATAAATCAAAAACTTAATAAAATAATATTTCGCACAAAATTCAAGGTAAAAAGCAAGCTTCTTGTATAATAACCCTAAAAATACTAGTGATTTATGAAATCTCTTCACAATGGTAGGCTCGTGCATCTATCTGACTTTGAACATCAATTATGCTATTTTAGAAATTTAACAGATATACAAAAAGTTTAGTCCAACAGCTATGTTACGCTCTCATGAGAAATAAATGAAATAAATCTCTGAATTTGGGGGGGGGGGGAAATAGCTTACATGTTGGAGATGCTTTATACCCAATTCCTCAACAATAAGAAAAGAAAAAAATCAACATCAATCCAACAACAGAAAACTGAATCAAATAAGCAGTCGGAAACTGATACGGGTCGAATCGACAGTAGGGCTATTGAGATATCAAATGGGTTCGTCAACAAGCCAATACCCATATTAGACGTCCAACCTGATACGCAAACCATGCCCAAAATCAGTTACCTGCAATTTGAAACATCCATGGGTCTTGAACTATAGAGGTTTACCAATAGGAAGAAACAATAGCTAGCATTTTCTTAGTAGTGTACATGGAAATGCCAGCTATGGTTTCTTCTTGTCTAGAGCAAACCCTATTGATGATTCAAATTCCAGGTAACTTATCTTGGACGTAGTCTGCATATCGGGTTAAACGCCTAATATTGTGTGTTGGCCTATTGACAAGCCCATCCGATATCTTAATATCCCGACTGTTGATTCGATCCATATCATAAATCTAAAATAATCATCGTATTTGAAGAGAGTTACAGTGAAATTTCACCTGTGAAATTGGTAAAGGTGGTGATTTTGGTGTGGGGAGGAGGTTGGAGTTTAGGGACCAATTTGCGTGAAGAGGGATAATGAAACTCCATACTAGAATTTGTTTTGATTTTCTATCTCCCTCACTCTCTCTCTCTATATATATATATATATACATAGAGAGAGAGAGTCTGGTTCAAATGTTAACTAAGTTTATTGTGTTAATTTTGTTAATCATTTTCAACCAATGACAATTCATCTTATTTATAGGTTCATATTCATCTTATAATTTAATGACAAAGATAAATATGTTATTTTCTTTTTCTTTATGTCACTCCCATAACATTAATTGGGAGTTACAAAATCAAAAAATCACATGATTTTTGTTTATTTATTATTGATCTTTTTTTTTATAATATTTGACTTTTCTATCTATAATGTTTTTGAATTTGTGATTGGTAGAGGAGACTCGGTAGTAAAGTTTTTGATATCGTTCAAGCTATTATGAATAAACTCATTGTTCATAATGAGTGAACTATTATTCACAAGTGTTCATATTGTGTTCAAATGTACACTAGCTGTATATCTCAACATTAGCTCGCTCCTAAATGTGTTCATAATGAATAAACTATTGTTCAAATGTGTACATATTGTGTTCATATATATACTAGAATTCTTCACTTAATTTTAATAAAGTATTAATATATTAAATATTTGAACAATATGATTGATGATTGAAATTTTGGAGAAACGGTTAATGCTTCAACCATTTATCCGGGTACCTAAATGTTTAAAACTTTATATTTTAACTATCAAAATGAATGTTTTGAAAGTACGTTATCCAAAATAAGAATCAAATTAAAGTACGTTACCTTTTCATGCAATTTACCCGTTTATAATATATACTCACATCTCGTTTCATTTGACGAATATAAAATCAATCTTTTACTCAAAATATATCTTATTTCAACAAAAATTGTTATAGGGTACAATTGAATTTTTTAATCATCATAAATATAAAAAGAAAATATTTAATTTGTATTTCTACACGAAAACGTTCTCAATTTTACAAACAAACGATGGATGAAAATATATACGTTATAAGAAACAATGCTTCTTTAAACATAAGTCAACAATTCTTGAACTCGGTACACGTTGTAACGTTTCCACATGTGTTTCCATGCTAATTCTGCACTTAAAAACACGTGTTGCACTCAAATGTAAGGTTATAATAGCTACTAAATGTTACGAATACGAGATATATTAAAGTATAACATATTCTTCTTCAATGTATAAGATACTGATTTTCAACTAGAGAGTACGTATATGTACTGAAAACTAAGTTTACTGCAAAAATGAACTCCCACGTAATTATGATATACTGACTTTGGTCCACCCTCATAAGGTTGGATCGAGTTCATTGCTTTATTTTTTTTGATTCGGTCGGATATAGGTTACTCGAGCCATGGGGACATTGGCTTGGAGTCATCATTCTATTAACAGGTTACATTGAAGTGTTCAAAACAATCGGTCTTGGGCCAAACCGAGCTGGTCCCAAATCGGTCATATTAAAACTAGGTCAGCCGATCCCAACCAATACTTTTTGGACCTATCATAGGTCTGTATTTGGTCCCAACCCAACCTGGTTTTCAAAGACTATTTTTATACAAAAATGTTACTAATATTTATTTAATTATAATTTTTGAAACTTAACAGTTAAATAACTATAATACTAAACATTGAAAAACTGAGATCTAAAATTTTTTTAAAAAAAAATTGTAATAAAGACCTTGAGAATATTGTAATTTTTTTTGAAAACTTTGTATCTATACTATATTATAAAACATTTGACAAAAACTTTTATAACCTATTTTTTTATGCATGAAGTACTGTATATTGATGCATATTACTTAAAATTCAAAATTACAAGTAATTTATGCATAAGTTCAACTTATTAAAGCTGCATGTTTGAATTCGTATAACTAATTGTGGATAAAATAATCAAATAGAGGATAATTATCTCATTTTAAAATATAAAAAATCTAAAATATAATTAGGATAATTATCGAGTTCTAACAAAATAATTATTTATTATTTTTATAAGAAAATTATATTATTAAACAAAATAAAAATTATTTCGTTATTGAACTTAAATTAAATTATAATAAAAAATTGAATTAAAAATTACACAAAAAAATATAAATTTTAAATAGTTAATTTAATACTACTATCGATATATTTTTGTCAAATTTTTATGATATTTTCAAATTTATATTTGATTCAAAATAGAAACATCTTCGCTTTTTATAAAATAACATAAGACTATACTGTAACATCGATTGAGATAAATAATAAAATAAAATATTAAAATCAAGATATATCTCGCTGCATTACGCGAATACCCTTCTAGTTATAATTAATAAAAACTTTGAAAAATTAAAAAAATCAGTTTTATACGTAATCTTTCCCGAGCCAAGTCAAACCAAACCTTAAAATTCCATAAATTTTATAAGAGGCCTTAAACACTATTATTCTATAATATATTTTTATCGATCCCAATAACCAATTTGCCCATCTCTAATGTTAATTGTGGTTGTTATATTTTAAAGGCACAAATTAGGATCAATATACCAAAGGGCCTTTTACCTAGCAATATCGTAGCATTTGGTAGGAAATTAAGGGTTTAAATTTTATCATAAATGAGGAGGACATGTAAGTTTATTTATTGTATTTATCGTATATAAATATTATATACTTCAAAAAAAAGTTATAATCAATATCTTCAATATAATAATTAAAGGATTAAAATCAAATAAGTTTTTTCCCCCTAAATGAAGTAGAAGTGGAAAAAATTTAAAGTAGAGGGCCAAATGGAGATTATACGTGTTTCAATTAGAGTTGATCATTTGCGGGTTTGGATCGGATTCGGGCTGGAAATAACCTATTATTTTTGTCAAATGGGTTTCATATGGTAAATCAAACCCGTTTTCACGGGTTTGAAAACTTACCCATACTCGCCCTATAAACAGGCCGGGCTTGCTCACGGACTAACGGACTTAAAAATCTTGTTATATTTTTATGAAAACAAAACTTATATAAAATCACAAGTTATATAAAATAATTCAAAATACATAACAATTTTTCCAACTTAAAATTTGACGTAAATACATAACAATATACATATTTTAGAAAGAAATTGTTTCGCTAAATATGAAATAATAAAAAATAGATCAACTGAAGTAATTATATTTTCAAATTTAAATTTTTTAAATAATGTTATTATCATGAATCATAATCAAGTAGAAATTGACAAGTATTAAGAAAATTCAATTTTATATGTAAATTTTAATTATAAAAGTTAATTATTATAGAAATATTAATGAGTCTGACGGGTTTGATCAAATATTTTTCTTCATCCGTCTGTTAATTTTAACAAGTCAATTTAGACCTGTCCATTTCTTTAAAAATGATAACCCGAACCTGTTTTTTTTCTAACGAATCGGACTGAACGGGTCATCCGCCCGTAAACGGGTCTAATTCCGATCCAGACCCGCTTTCTCTTGGCAGACAATATAAATATGTCACTTTTCCGCCAAGGGTTTTTCACTTTTCAAGTACAAGTTGAAATTTTGAAAGCACAACGCCATTCATTTTCAATTCGAAGGGTTTTCGTTTCCATTTCCCATTCATCAATGGCGGACGAAGCTCCGACTTCACAGAATCTTGCACCAAACGTCGACGAAGCGCCAGCTTCTGTTGATGCCACCATCGATTCGACTGGTGGCGGTGGCACAATGTCTTCCTGCAACAACAATAATGTCGCAGAAACATCTGGTCTGACGTCTGACGGAGAAATGGACAAGTCACTCGAGTACGCAGATGAGTTGATGGAAAGAGGATCGAAGGCTAACAAGGAACAAGACTATAGCGAAGCTACTGATTGCTTCAGTCGTGCCCTAGAAATCAGGTTAGGGTTTTCTAATCCGCGAAATGTTTTGATTCAAATAGACTTGTAGGGTCCTTTTAATCTACGGAATCTGTTGACTTTATTTGAAATATTTCGTATGCTGCATTGTCGTGGTCAAATAAAACCTGGGCAGGCTGGAATTATGTAGTTTTTGTCATTTTGTTTTATGTTGCTTATTCTTTGTGGTTTGGTTGTTCCCTAGAAATCAGGTTAGGGTTTTTTAATCCTCAAAATGCTTGATTCAAATGAGTTGGCAGGCAATGAAAAACACTGCAGTGCTTATCTTATCGATGACCAAAGTTAGCTAGAAAAGTTATACCAAATTGAATTACCCTTTGAAGACCCTCCCTTCATTCGAATTTTGGACAGACCAAGTTCTTCACAGAATTTTTCATGTATCCTCCCTGTCAGACTTTTGGTGAAGAGATCTGTACCTGTTAATCAATCCTTCATTCTTCCTGTTGAACTTCGTTTTTGCTTAGTAACTATATGCTTAGACCTGTTGTGAAATAACTGGTTTTTAGCCAACATCACTGCAGATTTATTGAGTAGTAGCTCCATGTTACTCTTCACCCAAGTTAACTAAAAACCGTCTCAACTCTTAACCAAATTGCCTGACTAGCAGCAGTCAGAGCCACATGTTTTACCTCTGTGAATGACAGAGCAGCTGTGGCTTGCTTTTTTGAGCTCCACAAAATAATATTTGACCCTGGAATAAGGAAATTTCTGGAGGTACTTTGCATCCCATCAACTGTGCCACCCCAGGTTTGCTTGTTTGAGTTCCATGAAATAATATTTGACCCCGGAATAAAGCAGTTTCTAGACGTACTCTGCATCCCATCCACTACTTCCTTTAAATAGAAGGAATGAGATCTTTCGTACCAACTTCTCAGCTCTGTTGATCCAGCCAAGTACCTTATCGCTTTCTTGAAGCTGCAAAGAAGAAGCAACACTCTTCAGTGTAAGGCTTTGCTTCAAGGGCATAGGCCTATACTTGCTTTCTTCTTTTGGACCATGCTTCTTTTTGGCGTCCACTTTTTTGTTTTTAACTCGTTTCTACAGCTCTTTCTTGTAATCCCACAATTTTATCAAAGCAGTTGTCATCTCTCTTTAATATATGCAACATAAAGATATAATAAGGAAATATAGGAGCAAATTTTAGGACTATCAATGTGGTTGGTATGAAATGATCATATAAACATTACTTCTTTTATTATAAAATTAATGTATATTGAAATGGCAGTGTCAACTGCACCAAATGGCTGTGATATACAATCAGGGAGACTCCACATTTTAGATTTCAGTATAAAATGTAAAATTCAGTGCACAAACATGAGAAAATATCTGTTCTAGGAAAATTAGAATTTCAGATCATCAACATCTCTATTTTTCTTTTGGTTTTTCCTTCTATCAACCACAAATCAGGAGCTTATAGTAGCTTCAAGTTACTGATGACTTTTTTTTATTGGTATTACACTATTATCCTGATCAGGGTTGCACATTATGGAGAGCTTGCACCTGAATGTGTGAGATCCTATTATAAATATGGATGTGCACTCCTGTATAAAGCTCAAGAGGAAGCCGATCCATTAGTTTCAGGTGCTGTGGCCAAGAAAGACGTCGGTTCCGAGCATGATTCTGAAAAAGGATCCGCTAAGGGTGCTGAAAGTGTGGAAACTTCTGTTTCAAGTAATGCTAAAGAAGGGACTTCAAATATTCAAGAAGTTCCAGAAGATGGTTAGTAGCAGCTTTAATAAAATGCAGTTTCTTCTTATTCATGGTCTGTGTCCTAATAAAATTATAAAATGCATGAGGGTCTGTTTTTTTGGCAGTATTCAGCATCTTATACCTGGGATGTGGAGTAAAGGTTTCCCCCAAATCTCATGTCCCTTCCTGCCACCAATCATGTGAAGACACATCATCATTTAACTAAGGAGAGATAATAAAAAGACGATTTAAATAAAAATAATGATGTGTACTCACATGATTGGTGGGACATGGAGGGGACATGGGATTCAGGGATTTTGAGACTTTTATTCTGGGATGTTTGTTGTTGCTGATGTGTGGACTTGGTAGTCATCGCATGTTCGATACTTGTATAAACGTATGCAGATGCAATAATTTGTCAAAGTATAAATGTGGGTCTGATGTGGTTTATGGTGCCTTTAGATCTTAATCAAGCAAACATCAATACATGCACAAGCATACATTTAAGAGAACGAATTCTTATTTATGTATTAGCATAGTTCAAATGTGTGTTTGTATGCATCTCCAATGCATTCTAGAGGGTCGAAGTTAATTAATATCAATGCAATAGTAAGCAGAGATGTTTTTATGAGTAGTAATATTGAATTGGATTTTGAGTTGCTGGATAAAGATGAATATCGTACTTTGTTTTCTGGGGATGATAGGTGGTGGTGAGGAAGACCAGGAAGAAGATGATGATGGAAGTGATGCTGATGATGCTGGAGCGGATGAGGATGAATCTGACCTGGATTTAGCATGGAAAATGCTTGATGTTGCCAGGGCAATTGCTGAAAAACAAGCAGGTGACTCGATGGAGAAAGTAGACATTCTTTCATCTTTGGCAGAGGTAGCTTTGGAGAGAGGTATGTATACACATTATGCTAATGCATTTGACTTGGTACTTATGTTTAGCAAACTAGCAAATAAGCTAGGTATTAGCTTCTCCAATTTTTTTTTTTTAATTTCTCCAAAATGGATAAGCAAAACTGCAAAAGTTAAAATCTCCAAAAAGAATTACATTCAACTCCCACCCATTTCTTCATTTTGGAGATTTCAACATTAATTATATTACTAAAATATTCAATACATTTAATATTTCAAGAAATTTTCAAATAAGTTTTATATAAAATGATAATACATTCAACTACATTTCTCTCTCTTAACAACAAATTTTGGAGAATTCTTCAAATTTGGAGATTTTTAGACTTAAATATAATACAAACTCCAATATCTCCATGTTGGAGATGTGTTGATAAGCTAGCTGATAAACTAGTCGTGTTTGGTAAAAACTAGCTTATAAGCTAGATGACTATGTAAAAATTTAAAAAAATTTGTAGGGATAATTGTAAAGTTCCTCAAGCTTATTGAAACACTACTTGAAGTAACTTTTTAAAAAACTTGAAGTTATCTTATGGTTGTCAAACATGGCATTACAAGTAACAACCGAGCAGAATCTTTTGACCTTTGACTTCACTCATATTAAAATTACTATTTATAAAGTCCCATTTGGTGTTTGTGTTCTTCTTATAGAGGATGTTGAAACCTCCCTCAGCGATTATCTGAAAGCATTATCAATGTTGGAACGCCTGGCTGAACCAGACAGTCGTCATATAGCTGAACTGTATCCTTTTTTAAGATCAATGGTTTATAAATTTGAGAAGTGGTCTTATCTGTTATTAGGGTCATCAAACTACTATCAGAGTTCACAATTTTGTACCTTTAGCCTTTAGGGTGCGTTTGGTACTCAGACGGGACTAGACATGACTGCACGTGCGATAATGATGTAGGCAGATGAAAGAATTGTGCAAGGTTTTAGGGTTTTTATTTGACATGGGTAATTTAGTAATTACCAATCTTCTTCCATCTCCCTAATTCTGTTCTGTCTTGGTCTAATGTCGCACCAAAAATGGGACAACAAGTTTTTGTTATATCTGATGCACTTCCTTAAAAAACAATATCAGAAATTTCAGGATATGTTTATGTCTAGAAATTGGTTCGAAGGGTCAGGAAGCAATCCCTTACTGCGAAAAGGCAATTTCAGTTTGCAAGTCTCGTTTGCAGCGACTCACAAGCGAAATAGAGAGTTCCTCTATGGTGTCCGCCAATCCTGAAGCAGCTGTCCTTGGCCGACAAGCGTCCAACGCTTCACAAACCACCAATCATGTTTCTGATAAAGAAAAAGAGATCGAGATTCTCACCGGTCTATCTACTGAACTGGAAAAGAAGGCAAGTCTTAGATGTTATCATTTGTAGTTCCTTACGTGTTTTCTTTTTCTGGTAACCTGCTGATCTTGTAACATTTGATGACATGGATGTCAAGTTTATTGTCCACTTTGATCTAAACCTTTCATAATTAGGTATCCATGTCATCAAATGGTACAAGATTATGGGTACAATATGAAATTTTGAAGCTTCATTACATTGCTTAATGCATTTTGCCTATAGGTTTATCCATGATTAAGGGGCCGTTTGGTTGGTTTAAGTTATGTATAAATAAAGCTGTTTGTATAGATTGGGAAGAGTGTTCTGAAGAATTTTGTTTGGGAGGGTTTTTCATATATGGAAGGATATTGTTTCTTAATTGGGAGGGGCAGTTTTGGAAAAAAACTTGACTTTCTACAACCCACTTTCTGTATCACTAGGCCACTACCAAACAGTCATATATAGCTGATTGAATAAGCTGCGAGTCCCATTAAGCTCACAAAGATGCTAACAAACAGACCCTAAAAAGCTTTAAAATGTGGTGGTCAAATTTGCAGCTTGAAGATCTCCAGCAGATTGTTTCAAACCCATCATCTATACTATCTGATATACTGGGAATGATAGCTGCCAAGGAGAAAGGCGGACAGACTTCCGCTGCTGCTGGATTGAGTTCTTCACGGCTCGAGACCGCTAACAGCTCTGGATTCGAGTCTCCTACTGTTTCTACAGCTCACACTAATGGTGGTAGTAGTGCCGTCACACATCTAGGGGTCGTGGGGCGGGGAGTCAAGCGGGTGTCGATGAGTTCAGCCGCTACAGAGTCTAATCCGGCAAAAAAGCCTGCCACGGATCCATCGGCAGATAACGGTGGCAGCGGCAACGGCAACGGCAACGCTGCTTGAAGGTTTCGGCTTATAGGGTTAGGTACTTCATATATTCTATGATTCCTGTTAACTCTGAAACATTTGCTCCCCCTTTGCTCATTGAATCTTATGTGAGATGCATGAGTAGTATCAATGAAGGTCTGATGAAAACAACTTTTCTATTATTTTAGTAACGGAAACAACTTCTCTACCTTTTGGGATTGTCCGTATAGAAGTATATTCTACTAGGGTCTTAAAAGGTGACATCATGCCTCGAGGTGTTTTCCGCACAATAATATGTATATATACTACACAAGTATATATACACTGGGTTGGATTCTGGTAAGAAGGGATCTTCATTATTGGATAATCCTAATTGAAGAGAACCACTAGATCAACACTAATGAGAACCATTAGATCATTTTTTCTTCTAAAATGTAATTCATGGGTTGTTTTGGGATTAAAAGTGATTAAAGGTTCAAATCGTTTCTTACACTTTTTGGGTTTATAAAAATTTCAGATAAAATATTTATATGCATCATACAGTTTCATACGATGTATGTATGAAATATATCGAGAGTTCAAATCCAAAGAGGAATAAAAATCCTTTTGTGGCCACGGAGGTTCAAATGCGGCGACTCCGTTTTACCTGTAAAACAGGTGGTCGTTTTGAGATTAGTCGGTTCGCATAGCGGGTTGGATATAAGGTTAATAAAAAAAACTCAAGAGAGTTTGTTTGATCTGATTTATATTTTAAAAATAATTAGAATGGTTACATCATATAATAAAATCAAGGTTTGAAATGGCATTGAATGTGGGAGAATGAAAGGTAGATATGGTAGTAGCCTACCATATTTAATGCTTTCATGGTCTTAGACTTCAAACATTAAACATTCCAATTTTATTTATTCATGGTATTTAATTTTGCTCCAATTATTTATATTTGGTCCCAGAGTTCAAACATCGTAATATTAATTGTGTATCCATGTGATGTGATCAGGGGTGTTTATGGGTTAAGTTAATTTGGTTGAAAATATTTGAATAACTCAACTTAATGTTTGTGGTTTAAAGAAATCGCAACCCAATCCAAACTGTATTGGTTGGCAGAGTCGATTTTTTGGAGATCAAAATATATTCTTCTAGTTTTGAATTTGTTGTATTCTTTGCTCATAATTCTTTTTTCGTTGTCAATCATTTGGTATGGTTTATCCATGTTTTTTCTTAAGTATATCACATTCAACTACTTTTTCTCAAAAAAAAAAAAAAAATATATATATATATATATATATATATATATATGTTCACATTTACGGAACATATATACAAATGATCTATATAGAGAGAGAATATATTGAAAATATATGTATATGAAGATGATATGTGATGGTTTAATTGTCTAATGTACCTATTAATAGGGATTTAACAATAATATTAAATTCAAGAAATAAAAAGATCGGCTTCATCGGGTTGGGTTCATACGACCATAACCTAATTTTAACCCAATACATATGGTTTAAAGATTTTACAACTTGATTAGACATCTACATCGGGTTTGGCTATTTCATGTTGGGTTAGGTTTGTCGGGTTTTTAAGCATCCCTAGATGCAGTTAAAGCATCTCTACAGGTATGCTATTTTTTCTTCATTGTGGTTTTTCAAAGTCTAAGGGGCCGTTTACCTAAACACTTACCCTGTAAACGCTTAACGGTAAAATTCAACTCTATTGCTTACTTATCGGGTAAGATTTTAGTCTACCAAAAACGACTTCGTACGTAATAATTTAACCAGTAAGCACTAACCGTAGTAAGAGTCGTCATTACTTACCGGGTAAGACTCTTGGTCCTTGCTTTCGCTCTTACCCGATAAGATTCTTGATTTTTGTTATATTCATCCGATAAAAAAATATGACTTAATAAACACTTACTCAAATAAGCATTTGATAAACAAATACGTGATGTGAATGCAAAAATATTATGAAATGCAAAAGTAGGTGGAGATTCATTAATTGGTGTTGCTTCAAAAAAGATTTGTACAATTCATACTGGATTTTAATATTATAGACCAACAACAAAATCATAAAATATATAAAAATCAATGAAATATGAATTGATTATATATTTTGTTTTGAGAAATTAATTAAAATGGCTAGTTCATCCAAATGGTTTCACCTTCCAACAAAATGCCGTGAAAGTAAAAAAAAAAAGTCGAATTTTCACAGTAAAAACACTATGAAGGTTATCTTCACAGCATTTTGTTGTGAAGTTTCAAGTGAACAACGTGGTCTCACGGGTATCATGAAAACAGACTGCTCTCACGTGATCTCAAGTCTAGTCGATATCATTGGTTGATGCAATAAAATATTACCTCTTTTCTCAGCATTAAGTTTTTAAAGATTTTCTTTAAATTTGAAAATTTCTATATGTTTCTTCTTTTCTATATTTAAACATAACCGGTGGAGTAAAAAAAACTGTAAAATCCTTAAAATTTCTACTTTAACGTAACTGTTAAATTTGTGTAAGCTGTATTTTATGGTGTAACTTGGTTTTAAGAACCAAAGAGTAAACTACAAAGTTGGTCCCTATGGTTTATTGAAAATAACACTTTTCGTCTTTATGATTTCGAACTTATATGGGGTTTGAAAAAACGTCCGAACTTGGTCCATTTTTCTAGCGGCCGTTAAAAGAATTCGTTAAATGACAGACATTTTTTTTTGTTAAAACCGTAAAAAAAAAAAGATAGATAAATGGACGAAAATGCCCCACATTTTACCAAGATATTTTAACGACTGTTGGAGATAGGGACCTAATCCAATCATTTTTATAAACGATGATTATCATCTTATAATTTCAAAACTTTTAGATCAAAAAGTATTATTTTCCAACAAACCAGAGGGATGAAATTTGTAGTTTACTCAAAACCAAATAAAAACACTTAAATTATTTTATTATGTATACTATGTTATAAATCATTTGACAAAAACTTTTAAAAACCAAATTTTATGCATGAAGTATTGTTTATTTACGCATACTACTTAAAGTTCAAGAATACAAGTAAATTATGCATAAGTACAACTTATTAAAGCTCCAAGTTTGAATTTGTGTAACTAATAGCAGATAAACATAATCAAAAGGAGAATAAACATCTCATTTTAAAATATAATTAAGATAATAATCGAGTTCTAACAAAATAATTAATTATTATCTTTATAAAAAATTATATTATTAAACCAAATATAAATTACTTCGTTATTGAACCTAAATTAAATTATAATAAAAAAATGAATTATAAAATTACACAAAAATAAGAAATTTTAAATAGTTAATTTGATACCAATATCAATGTATCTTTATCAAATTTTTATGAATTCTTCAAAAATAAAAACATTATCGTTTTTTTTTTCAAAATCACATAAGACCATATTATAACATCAATTGGGATAAAAAATAAAACGAAATATTAAAATCAAGATGTATCTCGTTTTATTACACGATTACCCTTCTAATTCATATATTAAATGCATAGTTGGATGTATGTTACTTAATGTAACCATATTGGGTCCATATAATAATTCATCCAATTTGTATATATATTTATAATTCAATTATTTTTCAATGATTTAAAAATTCAAATTTATTCTATATTATTTAATTTGCATGATACTTATGGCCCCATATAATCACACTTGATGAAATAAATGCAGGGGAGGTTATTATTATTATTCTTTGTTAGATGATTCGCTTATTTTTATTCATTTTTGATCTTAAATATTAATTATTATATATTAATACAAGTTGTTCTGCAGAAAAGATAATTTGTTATAACCACAATGGTGGTGTCTGATTGGTTTGAGCTTGACTCCAAATGTCAAAAATATCAGGAGGTCCATGTTCAAATCCAAGGAAGAATAAAAATCTCCTTGTAGCCATGGAAGTTCAAATGCGGTGACTCCGGGTTATCTGCAAAGCAGGTGGTTACCCTAAGATTAGTTGGCTCGCATAACGGGTTGGATATCCAGGTTAATAAAAAAAAGATAATTTGTTATTGTTATATAAGTATCATGTTCTTAGACTGGTTCTTTAGGTCGTTCTTATATATTTGGTCACTTGTTTTGTACCAATAAGTCCTTAGAGGTGCTTTATTATACAATCTATTACATTTATACAACTAATACAACTCAATCTCAATCGTACATTAAAAACATAAGATACTGGTCGAAGAAAATTCATAGTGTCACACAATTTACATTAAAAACAATACAGATAAAATAAAAGCCTCAAAAATATGAAAATCAGAACCTTAAATAAACGAATTTGGATTCGATGAATAAACGACACTCGGTCCTGTTGTTTGTCCCATGCGACGAGCCAATTGAAACCTCTATATGAGTTTTTAACTATTTCCAATTAAAAGTAATCCTCATTTAAATTTGTACGTTTTCTCTCATATTTATGAGGGATGGACCCAAATTTTTTTTTAAACGGTGGCACCATTTGACCATAAGAAAAAAAATATAGATTTTTTTTCAAACACCGACACCGTTTGACTATAAGAAACAAATATACGGATTTTTTTTCAAACGGTGGCATCGTTTGACTAAAAAAAATGACACTAACATTATTCGGACTTAAGTGTGGGGTGGAATAAAAATCTTGCAAACCAACTATAACAAATAAAATTTGTTCTCATTGTAGTTTTAAAATACATACGGTGGCACACAAACAAATTAATACGGTTGCACCGTTCACAAAACCTAAATTTTTTACCATTCGTCCGAGAAACGATACGGTGACACGTGCCACACATGACACTTAACTAGGCCCGCCTATGTATTTATCATGCATACCCTAAAGTGAAGTTAAGGGAAAAAAATCCTAAATAAACGAAAAACTATAAAAATCTAATTAATTGATCTGACCAATATAATTATATAAGCGATAATAGCAACATTTTTTAATTTATAAAATCTCACCACTCTATTTTTTATTCGAAAAAGACGAAAAATAAATAAAAATCGAGCAAAATATATTAAACAAAAAAAATCATATTTTCTCGTTAATTTCACATCCGTATTGATACACTTTTTCATCCGTTTTTTTCTTGATTTTTCATTTTCCATTTACTTAACGGTCTCCCCATTAACCTGACCCGCTCCTAGAACATCTCCAACAAATATGTTATATATTTTTTCCCCCAAAATTTTAGAGATTTTTTCATTCTCTCTCTTAAAAAAGAGTCAGCATAGCTGCTGAATCAAACTTTTTCTAGATCTTTAAAATTTCTAAAATAACATAGCTCTTAAAGATGATCTGATTCCTATGTTTTGCATAAGTTATAATATGGTCAAAGATTTTGTAATAATGGGTATTTATATGCATTAATATGTATGGAAAAAGTGGGGAAAAAAAGAAGCTAAGGAAAGGGGGACATTCCAATTGTGAGATTTGGGGGTTTAATGAAATGTCCATGTCATTATATGCCAAATTCTACCCTCTAAATATGAACAACTTTGCAAGAAAAGACTTGTTAAAAAGCAAACTCTTTTTTTTTTGGTGTATTTGAAAGTAACAATCATACCAATGTTGTTAAAAGCAAACTCTTTTTTTTTTTTATAGTACAAGTAAAAGGAAAAAAAATTGTACATAAATCAGAGCATTTTTTATGTACGGTTTTTTTTATTAATCTAGATATCCAACTTGCTATGCGAGTCGACTAATCACAGGACGACTACCTGTTTTGCAGGTAGTCCGGAGTCACCCATTTAAACCTCTGTGGCCACAAGGGAATTTTTGTTCCTTATTGGATTTGAACCTGAGACCTTCAGATACTTTTGACCTTTGGGGTTATATGTACGGTTTTTATAAGTAAAAAATATAGCTTCGTATAAACACCAACATAATAGAAAGTTCTTATATATGTATGTCTTTTTATATCACAATCGGGTTAAATTATGCATTGAGAATATATAAAAAGTAAATTTTGATGTTAATGTGTATGAGGAAAAAATTAGTGGGTACGATACATTTAACAATATATAAAGATGCATTTAACTCACTGTTTTATTATAAAATTATATCAATTTGTTTTGTATTATAATGTTAATAAATTGGTTATTTAATTTTTGGAATATATAATAAATTTTTGTTTAGCAAAATTGTGAATTTCGTATGAGATTTTTTTGTCGTGTAGTTGTAATAAATGCATGGATTTGTTTAGATGTAGTTTGAAAAATGACAACAATATACGAGATTTGAACTTAATGTGTTTACAATAATTTTGAAAAGTTATTTAATCATTTTTTAAAATAAATATTAAAATCTTGATTTTAAGATGTCTTAATCTTGAAATAGATACAAGTATTTAAATTTCTAGTGTGTAATTAGTACCCGTCACACAAGTTATCGAGAAATTAAAAGATCGTCTATGTTTTACAACCATTCTTTCTTACTCATTCATTTATCAATAAATCATTAACATGATTTGGGATCACGTGAGATCAGTCTGTTTTCATGAGACTCGTGAGATCATTTTTTTACACTTGAAACTTCACAACAAAACGTTGTGAAGGTAATCGTGTTTTTGCTGTGAAAGTTAGACTTTTTCTTTACCTTCACAGCGTTTTGCTATGAAGTTTCATGTGTAAAAAAATGGTCTCAAAAAAACAGGTTGGTTTCATGTAAATAAAGCCCTCGTTAACATACATCAAAAATATATATTTTCTTTTATCAAAAATGGTAAAGATAAACCGAAAATAATTTCTTAATTTGAAAATTTCCAAATTAGTTTAACATGTTATTAGCACATATAATACTCCAACCATTTAACAAAAATCCAATAGTTCTTATTTGGATTATTCTAAATGTACAATATTTTTCAAACATTATTTTTAAATTTATTAATTTGTTTGTTACATAAAAAAATATTGATAAATTCAATAAGAAAACTCTTATTGGATAAAAGCTTATTAGAAAAAGTTATCACTCTCACGTACCTTGTTGGGTGTTACTCTATGTTATCATGGTAAGGTATCTTTTACCCAGTAAATGCTTACAGGGCATAAGTGCTCTCCTTCAATCATTGGGTAAAATTATCAGTCCTTGCCATGTCTTTTATCGAGTAAGATTCTCAGCATCTGTCATCCTTACAGATAAAGTAAATGACATAAGATAAACGCTTACTTGATAAAAGTTTAGTCAAGAATTACGTTAAGTTTATATTTAAATTAGAAAAATAAGATAAAAATTCTTTATATAAGTTTGGAAAAAATTTAATCTGAAAATCATGCATTTATATAAACTCCTGTTAAAAAAAAGAATTTTATTAAAAAAATAAGCTATTTTCCAGTAATTTTATTTGGATTTAATTTATAAATCAATGTCTCACATGTTTACGGGAATAATGGAAAAGCAAAAGGATACATACTTTCTCTTTTATCTTGGTATGTGCTTTTTCTCGCTCTAATCTTTATTGTTGTCTTCGAGCGTTGATTCATTAAAGTTCAATCCTCATGATTATATTGAATCATTGATCCACTTCCTTTTTTCATCTTCCTTCTAAACTCCCGTCTGTAACTTCCCCCTGATTCCATCATTTTCCCACATTTTCAATCATAACCATCTTCTAAACAAGTCAAAATCCCACCAAATTCTCAATCATGGCTCTCGCTTGATCTTTCTCTTTTCGAACAACTTTTATTTTTCCGGCGGTTATGGCCACCGATATGGCAGAAACTTCCAAACGGCAAGCATGGTAAGTGAAGTGTGAAGCTGGGTTAATTTGCTCTGTTTTTTTTTCTTTTTCTGTACGAATTTGTTTTACCTGATTCTGAATTTTGTTGCAGGTTTTGTACCACCGGACTACCCAGCGACGTCGTGGTTGATGTGGGCGACATGAGTTTCCATCTCCATAAGGTTAGGTTGAAGTGATTCGCCATTGATGTGAGTTTGATCATAGGTTGTGTATTAACAGTTTGATGAAATGATATCTTCAGTTTCCTCTGATGGCGAGAAGCAAAAAGCTTCACGAGGTGATAACGGAACATGAAACGAATCCGACTGGTAGAGTTACTGCTCAAATGGAGTCTGAACAAGAAGATAAGGATGAGATACAAGAAGAAAAGCAGGCGGAGACTGAGACGGCGGCGGATTCCGACGACTTCTGCCACGTCACCCTTCCGGATTTTCCGGGAGGTTCAGAGACGTTTGAGACGGCTGCCAAATTCTGTTACGCCGTGAAAATTGAGCTCTCGTCGTCCAACGTCGCTCCACTCCGTTGCGCCGGAGAAGTTTTGGAGATGACTGAAGAATACTGTGAAGATAATCTTATTTCCAAAGCCGAGAGGTTTCTGTCGCAAACGGTGCTTAGAAGTTTGAGAGATTCAATCAGAACGCTGAAGTCATGTGAGGATTTGCTTCCTATGGCAGAATCTCTTGGCATTGTTCAAAGGTGTATCGATTCCATCGTTTCCAAGGCTTCGGCGTCGGATCCGTCGCTGTTCGGTTGGCCGGTGAATGAATTTACAAATTCAGGTGCCGCTGCTGTATCTTCTTCACATGAAACTGGTTCCAGAAGAAAGGGAGCCACCGCCAGCGGCGGAGATAGGTGGTTCGATGAACTTGTATTCCTCAGTCCTCCGTTATTCAAGCGTTTAATAGTCTCCATTAAAGCTCGAGATCTGAATCCTGAAATAGTCGAGAATTGTCTAATTTCGTATGCCAAAAAACACATTCCCGGCGTCAATCGCGGTGGTAGGAGGTCGTCTTCCTCATCTGTACTTTCAGAGATTGAACAGAAGGAGCTGTTGGAGACAATAGTTACAAATCTTCCAGAAGAAAATGGCTTGAGATCCTCACCGGCGGTGACGGTTTTCTTCGGAATGTTGAGAGCAGCAAACATTCTGATTGCTTCAAATGCTTGTCGAGCAACTTTAGAGAAAAAGATCGGATTGCAACTCGAACAAGCAACCCTAGATGATCTTCTAATCCCTAGTTATTCCTACTTGACCGAGACGTTATACGACGTCGATTGTGTCCAAAGGATTCTAGCTCACTTTCTTCGTAGTGTAGAACAGACATCAACGGCTGATGTAATCCACGATGACAATGATGGCGCCGACGAGAATCGCGTCAGATCTGTGACATTAATGCTCGTCGGAAAATTAATCGACGGTTACTTGTCGGAAATTGCATCCGATACTAATCTGAAAACGGATAAGTTCTTGGACCTTGCCTTCGCCTTGCCGGAACAATCGAGGCTCTACGACGACGGACTTTACAGATCTGTCGACGTTTACCTCAAGGTATCATTTAATCTGTAATTCCGGCCAGAATTTTCGTTGATTCAAATTGATCATTTGAATCTAAGTTTTTGTTCCGAATAATGCTTGCAGGCACATCCATGGATAAAGGAGGCGGATCGGGAGAGAATTTGTGGAGTAATGGATTGCCGGAAACTGACATTAGAAGCATGTACTCACGCAGCACAAAACGAACGTCTTCCTCTAAGGGCGGTGGTGCAGGTGCTTTTTTTCGAGCAGTTGCAGCTCCGTCAGGCAATCGCCGGTACACTGATAAACACCGACATCGGGCGGTTGGATATGGAGAGACTACCGGAGATGGCCAGACAAGAAGACGAATCAATTGTTGAAGACGAGGTGGAAAGAGGCATCGGAGGCACGTGGACGGCGGCGGTAAGGGATAATCAGGTGCTACGACTAGACATGGATAGCATGAGGACGCGCGTAAACCATTTGGAACGCGAGTGTTCAACGATGAAAAAAGCAATCGAGAAAATCCACAAGATGGGCCCATCTGGATGGAGAGGCTCACTCACCAAGAAACTTGGGTGTAAATTTAAGACCCAGGTGTGCGACTCACATGAACCAACGATTGTGGAGGCTCGAAAGGGTCGAACCCATCGGCACCACCACCAACAATAGCCGACGTGATGCAATTATTATATTGGAAAATTCACCGAAGAGTTGGGTTCTAGTGGGTATGAAAGTTGTGATGAGAAGGGTAATTAGATATTTTTGGATCAATTTTAACTGAAATCTAGACAACAATAAAAAGATACACTAAATCGATTCTCTTCTAAAACCTAATTAATAGGTTGTTTTGGGCCTAAAAGTGATCAGGATCCAAATTCGTTCTTACACTTCTTGTCTTACCTTTTATTTTCACACGATCTCTCGTAATTGACAAAATTTCCATTTTAGACAAAATTTAAAATGGAAAGATGGGTTATTTTAGTTAATTTTTGTATTATATTGAATAAAAAAAAGAATTGTGATTAATTTTCAGAGTTCCAATGTGATCACAGCTTTTGAGAGAAGCAAGTGTTAGTGGAACTGAAATCCAGCCTCCAAAAGTGGTATGCTTACTACTCTTTTGTTTGGTTGTGGCCAAAGCAGCTCCTTCTGCTTCTGTAAAAAGCTTTATTTGGTTTGGGGGAATAATACTTTCGGAAGCAGATCCAAATTCTAGTTCTGGCACATGACGTATCTCATATGTGCAACAAACCAACCACCCTTGCTCTTAAATGTGTTCAAAAACAAGAATTATGGCTTGTTTATCATGCGTTATTTATTTTATTAGATGAGCATGACACTTGTCATATAAGACAGATTGTAACGGAAATAGTGTTGAATCATACAATTAATAGAAGGTTACGGTTCGTTTTTAAACAAATTATACAACATTCTTATAAATAAAACGTATTTTCAGATGATGTTGATATCCGATTTGTTTCCCCAAGTTGGCTTGTCTTCGGAGTTCATTACAAACCAGATTGCCGTGTGAGTTTGTTCATGTTGTCTTTTTGGGTCATTAATTCTTTTGGACCACTTGCTGTCTTTGGTGGTAGAGTTTTTATCTTCACTAGTTTGGTCAATTCTTAGGGCAGACTTCTTTTGTTGCCATCCCCTTTCTTAGTTTGACAACTCGTATAAATCTTTAAACATCGATTATTCTAATTTCATCTCAAGCTTCATTTAGAACATTTGTCTACAAGATCTTGTTGTTTTGTGTCTAGGGGTGGCGTAAATGATGCAAGTCGAGCTCAAGTATGATATATTTGACTCGAACTCGATAGTCATTTCTCAAGCTCGAACTCAACTTGAAAACTCGAGTGTAGTTAAAAACTAAACTCGACTAGAACTCGATTACAATTTTCTAAACTCAAATGAACCAAGCTCGAACCAAGTTCATCCACTGAAATTTATTAATTTTAGGGTTATAAATTATTAAACTTAAATGTGCTCTCTTAAAGTTTATAAAACTTAAGAGATGCACCTCAAATTTGTTTATCAAAAAGATTTCACTGACATTTTTATAGTTTTTTTTCTTTTTTCATTATGATTTTAATAAAAGAATTATTAGTTTTTATCATTATAAAAATGTACAAATTTGTTCAAATATCTAAAATATACAACATGTTTTTATATCATATTTTACAAATAATATTTTAAAACTATTATATTTTAAACCTAATTTACATATAAAAAAATAGCATTTCACGAGTTTTTCAAGTCGAGTATTGGATAGCTCGACTCTACTAGTTAGTTTGTCGCATTGAGCCGAGCCTGTTCGAGTCGAATGTTGACTGAGTCGATCTTAAGTAGCTCGTATCATTTACATCCCTATTTGTGATTGAAAAGCTTATTTGTATGTTGTTCACACACGTGCTCGTCAAAACCTCGCGATTGTGATGTGCAATCAGACATAAACTGTTCGACATTCCTTTATGGTCATGAGCCAAATTCACTCATGGTTGTCAAAGGCCATCAACAACTGAATACGGGTTTTACCCTTTCACGCACGGTCATGCACCTTTAGGGCATACGTTCTCAATGTTGCAGACACACTTTTCGGCCCTGTTTTCTTGAGCCATGCTTTTGACAAGATTACAACGTTTCACCTAATTAGGAAGTTGACTCATGTACTCACGTTTTTTTTTCATTCTCATTTCTCAAAATTAGCACAAACCTCCTAGAATATGTATTATTATCTCCAAACACAAACGTACACCATTGTGTTATATTTCACATTGTAATCTTCATCTTTTACAGTTCTATTAGTGGGTTTCTTTCGGTTCTCCTCCACCGATGTTTTTTTGCCTGATTCGGGTTTACACATAATCTTCTTGTTTTCTAATTCTATCTCTTTTATATTGTGTTGGATACTTCTTTACTCACCTTTGTAGGATAAGTACTAAGAACCCCTTTGTGTGTTCAAGGCTTCAAGGTAAGTATCTATAAAGACACTGAGGGGTTGTTTACTCAATGCTTACCCGATAAACGTTTATCGGTAAGAGTTAACTGTTTTATCGGGTAAGATTTTAGTTCACTAAAATGATATTGTATGTCGTAATTTATCTGATCTGATAAGCGGTTACTGGGTAAGAGTCGTTATTCTCACATAAATTATAAGACTTTTGGTTCTTGCTATCACTATTTAGTGAATAAGATTATCAAATTTTGTCATATTCATCCGTTAAGGTAAAAATGACATAGTATGCACTTAGCGGGTAAGTCTTTAACAAACAACCCCTAAGAGCTCGTTTACCAAACACTGATTGGGTAAGTACTTACATCCAAAGGTCACCACTCTCAATTACATCTTCAGGTAAAATTTTCAATCATCAAAATAGATTGTTAGTAAGAATCTTTTAACTGCCAAACACTAACCATGTAAGAAGATTATTGGTCCTTTTTTGTTGTGAGACCATAAAATGACACTTAATTTTTACAGCAAAACACTGTGAAGATATAAAAACACCGAGCCTTTACGATGCTTTATTATAAAGATTCAATATTGTGTTTATGTTGTAATGGGTCCCACAAAAACAGACTGGTATTATATGATACTAATATTATTTTCTTTGACAAATATGATTATTTGGCACCGGAGCGAAGGGAATTGACACTTGGCAGTTGGAAACTTGGAGTGGACCGTGCTTCCGGCACTAAATACCGTTGCTAAAAACATGCACCCCCATTCACTTTGCATATATTTTCACTTTACCCCCTCCTCTAAAATTCCTTAACATTTGCACCCCCAAACTTCAGATATACTATACGTCTTTTCCACTGCTCAGAAAGTTGATATCAATCTCTCCATAAATCTATGTTCGTTTGATCAGATCTGTGTATGAAAATGGTGAGGAGCGACTTTTGGACGTTGAAGACGGAGGAGGTGACGGCGGAATTAATCAATGCCGATATCAGTGAGTTGAAACTGGCGGTTGAGAGGCTGTTTGATCATGTCACTAAGATCGGTGGCCTAGGGTTTGGTACTTCATTTCTCGCTTGGGTTGCATCCTTCGCTGCTATGTGAGTTCTTCAGTTCCTTTTCATTGTTGTGATAATTTTGCTAATCAGTCGTCGATTAAATTAATCTTATCTGCCGTTGTTGTTTTCTGTTAAGCCGACTCGATAACTGGATTGTAGAAATTGAGTTTTCCGATGACGAATTAGGTAGCTATTTGGTTGATTAGGATCGTTGGAAATGAATTAGTTACTGTTTTTTTTTACATTATTATATTGTGCCCATGCAAAACGGCGATCGGAGAGAGGGATTCGAAGCCGAGATTGTTGAATATCATGAGAGATTGATCAAATTAGATGCTGTAACAAAAGGAAAATTAGAAGAAAAAGACCCTTTAGAACATGGGATATTGATCAAAGTGAAATGCTGTAACTAAAAGACAAATAGAAGAAACCTTTTCCTTTTATGTCACTTTCTCTTCCATTTGTTGGCTTTTTGAAAGTCATGGCCAAAACTGCAATTATAGTCTTCCTCGCGTGTTTTGCGAATTATCTATTCCACCTGTTCCACTTAGATATTTCACATGACGGCAAAAGAATACATATTAAGTAACCATGAGCAGTGAACTTGAGAATATTGTGTTATTATGCACCAAATCAAACACTTCCATCAAATTATAAGTTTGTTGGTGTATTTTTAAATAGTCCCAAGTTATCCCATGATTTCCTAATTTAATGCCATAACTAGATTTGGGATCTATATCACCTTTTACCACCTTTTCTGGTCGGAAGATATGCTTATGGTGGCATGCATAATTCAAAATTGTACCCTTGATCTACTCATAATTTGCTTGGCTTTTTTTGTCGCATAAACTTGAATATGTGTTGTAGCAAATGCTCAATCCAAGATTGTAAGTAATCCGCGTAACTTTCCACATGAAGAGAAGCAATTAGTGCGAAAATTAGCTCTTTTGTTGTCTCGCTATCTTGCTATGATCGTAACAGCGGATTCATAGGGTTTGCCACTTAGGCGAACAGTTAAAGATGAATGAGATGAAATCCCCATAGACAATATATTTCATATTCAATAATGTCCATTGAAGACTTAAATAGGAAAGATATATAGTTAGCTACTCAAGCCAAACTGGGTAAACAATGTGTGTACCAAACCTTTCTATGAACATTGAAGAACTTCCAAGCTCATGATCATGACATTTCAGTATGTTAATATGCACCTTGGAAGATAGTTGAGCATTAAGAATGTCACTTGTTGGTATGCGGACATGATTGGAGCGGATGGACAAGAGTGAGGTAGGCCGGTGAAAGAAGTTTGGAAGGTTTTGGGGGTTTAATTTGACATGGGTCGTTTAGTTTTCATATATTGTATAACTACACAAGAATACACACAAAGGAGAGTTGATAAATAGTGATGCTTTGCACCTTGGAACACATGATTCTCTGCCCAAGCTATTCTTATGCAGACATGGAGTATGATTATGTTTCTTGGTAACTCTCAGGTATTTGGTCCACCGTTTAGTTCTTCTTGTATTCATCGTCATATAAGGCTCATTGCCCTTCTAAGATGCATGCTCTATGTTGTGGAACTCCATGTGTGATTAGAACTTTGCGTGATAAAATTTCTAAAGATTTTAATGTATGCTGCAGTTATCTGTTGATATTGGACAGAACAAACTGGAGATCAAACATTCTGACCACACTTTTAGTACCTTATGTATTCTTTAGTCTTCCTTCATCCATATTCTATTTCTTAAGGTTTGTACTCTGCTTTCAACCTCTTAATTTTGGTCACCTTACCTTCAAGTTCGCTGTTATGCATTTACAAAATAATTGCACTATCTGCAGGGGACAATTTGGGATGTGGGTCGCGGTCATTACGGTGGTACTAAGGCTCTTTCTCCCACGGCATTTCCCAGGTATTGATTAACATATATCTACATATGCTTATGCATAATTGATTATTCTGCAACTGCTTTTTGGTCTAGTGATACCGGTAAATGCAAACATCCGGTAAGCCTAGCATTCGGTATAATGCAGTCTATTGTTATTTGTTTTGGGATAACATATTCCTAAATTAAATGGGAAATTATTCTCCAAGATTGCTTGAGGTTGTTTATCTTTTTTTTCCATTAAGCCCTGTGTGAGTTAAGTTAATAGTGTAGATAAGTATGTCTGATTGAGAGACGAGTGACCTGTGAGTTTGAGGGAGGCAAAAAGAGAGCGTTGGATCATTTCTGATGAATACCTGGCATTAATTTGTTTGAAATGGCTTAATGGAGAGTTGAGGACAAGTGAAGAGTCCTGACTTATTTCATATAGCCATTTTGGCTTAGTGGCTTCATGATTAAGCCATAAAAAAACACTCTTGTATAGTTGTATAGCTGAATGTTTAAGCCATTCAAATAATTAAGTTCATTAAGCTGTAAGTAAACAGCCAGGTTACTCCACTTATGTAGGTTCATCCTGAAACAAAGAAGAGGCTGAAATATGCATCAAGTATTTGATTAAAAGCATGCCACATGACACTGCAGAATAAAATAACTCACTCCTGAAAACTAGACAAGCCTAACCAATTTAAATAATTTTAAAATTCATGCAACATTGAACTTATCCAACAACCAACTACCTAAAAGTGAAAGCTTCCAAACTGCAATTTATCTTTTCAACTTCTTGAGTTCTCTCATGGTGCAACACAAATCCCCAACAATCCCTTCAGATAGAACGGAAAAATTCTGAGGAGGCGTTTCACGTTTGGTTTGACAGAATTTTTTGAGGCGTTTGGTTTTCGTGGAAGAATTTGGAATCTTTAGGATGTTTGATTTGTAAGATTTGGAACCGAATTCAATTCCGTCCAAATCTTACAAACCAAAAACACCGAAGATTCCAAATCTTAATCTGTCTTATTACAAATTCTTCTATAAAATCCAAATCTTTCAAAACCATTCCATCAAACCAAACGTCCCCTATAGAATTCAAATATCCGTTCTGTTATGTTGGGTTTTGAAGTAGATACAAAAATTCATCAACAACCCATATTTCCTACTTTGTGGATTTTTATTTGATGTATATGATTTAGTAAAACCTGTACGTAGCATTAATTGGTGCAGATTGGCTCGAGATGCCTGGATCGATGGTTCTTCTTATGGTAGTTGCTCCAAACTTATTTGCTCATACATTCAGGAATAGCTGGGTTGGTCTTGCGATATGTCTTTTAATAGGTTGTTACCTACTTCAAGAGCACATTCGGGCATCGGGTGGTTTCAGGAATTCTTTCGTTCAAAGCCATGGTATATCTAACACCATCGGTATTCTCTTGTTGCTGGTCTACCCGATGTGGACTCTCATCGTTCGCTTTGTTTAAATCCTGCATTTTGAACTGAATTATATGAACTTAATAAATCTTTGATTTAACTCTGTTGTAAACTGTTGATCAACTTTTTTTTTTGTTTGATTAACCTGGATATCCAACCCGTTATGCGAGCCGACTAATCCCAGGGCGACCACCTGCTTTGCAGATAGCCCGAGTCACCGCATTTGAACCTCCGTGGCCACATGGGGATTTTTATTCCTCCTTGGATTTGAACCTGGGACTTTCAGGTACTTTTAACCTTTGAAGCCAAGCTCAAACCAATTAGGCACCATCCTTGTGGTTACTGTTGATCAACTTTGTTTTCTGCCTGTTGAAGCATACAAAAGCTAAGGTGGTAGTTCTGAGGTTAGCAGATACATATTTATGCAAGGAAGTCCAAATCTTTGATAGTTTACTAACAAATCACAATTCTCCATTTTTTCTTTAAGTTTACCAAAATAGTCATGGTCCGGAAAATCCACATCCGTAATTGCGGACCCAACTAGAAGACAAAAAAGATTTACACTTTCTACCCTTGTATGCAAAAAAAATTACATTTTTCACTGACGTCCACAAAAAAATTTACATTTCTCACCCAGGTTCGGGAAAAAAATTAAAATTGCGGACCTAGGGCTATTTTGATAAATCTTATAAAGAAGCGGCTAAGAAGTGATTAATTTCCCTATTATCCTTCATTAAAATTGCGGACCGAGTAAATTATAGTATATGATAAATTGAAATCTTACCCAATAATGACAGTTACTGTGTTAAATTTTACTGGTAAGTGCTTATTGATTAAATATTTGGATAAACGGACCTAAATTTCATGAATAGTTTTTTTGAACAAATAATTACTTTTTTTTTTTTTTGTAAAATCAATCAAATATATCATATTTAATCAATTTTTACAAAGTACAAAGATCTTTTTATTTAAAAATCGTAGAAGGATATTCGCACAATGCAGCGAGATAAATCTTCATTTTAATGTTTAGTTTTTATTTTTTATCTCTATCGATATAATATGAATTATGTTGTTTTGAGAAAGTGATAATGTTTTTATTTTTGAATGAAATATAAATTTGAAAAAATAAATCGATATTAGTATCAAATTAACTATTTAACAGTTCTCCATTTTTGGTGTAATTTCTTTAATTCAATTTTTTATAATTTAATTTAGATTTAATAATAAAGTAATTTATTTTTGTTTTAATAATATAATTTTTTTTATAAAGATAAGAATTAAGGATTCTGTTAGAACTCAATGATTATCTTAATTATATTTTAGATTTTCAATGTTTAAAATTGATGTTTATCCTATATTTGATTATGTTTATATGCAGTTAGTTATACGAATTAAAAAATGAAGCTTTAGTAATATGCATTAATAAACAGTATTCGTGCATAAAAAATGGTTTTTAAGAGTTTTTGTCAGATGTTTTATAATATAGTATAGAACTATAGATATACACAAAAAATTAATCTTTCAAAATCCAAAAATTTATCCAACTTTTATCTTCTTAATTTAAAAAATATATGAATTAATTGTTTACATTTTAAAGAGGCCCAGAATCGGAAGCCTGTATATCTGGGTCCATACAAGAGGCCCATAAAACAAGCTTGTAGTTGTAGCTGAATGATGCCCTAACCCTAAACCCTAATCAGCCAAAAGTCGAGTGTAGCTGCTTAAAAGGCTTAAAAGGCACTTTCTCTCTTTATATAAGAACGCAAACACATGATCTGCTGGAATCATGGTGAAGTCTCTCTCATTTGATTTCATCTCCTCTTATTGGTTTCAGGTATTCTTATGATTTCAACCAGTTTCATAATTACCTCAATGATTTCCTCTTCTTTCGTTTGATCTTCTTTGTAGTATGATTTGTTTCTCGATGACGATTAATTCATGATGACGAGTCTGATTATCCATTCTTATAAAAAATCATGACGACAAATCGAGGCATTTGTCTGAGAGAAGCTGTAGATCTTCTTCTTTTTCGTTTTCAGTTTGATCTGGTTTTCTTATGATCAATGATTAGTCTGGAATCGGTAAAATGAGCATAGTGATGATGAAAGTTTTATTTGACAATGTCTTCTGAAGCATAATTTTTGCTAAGTGATTGAACAAATAACCTCCTACTCATTCTGAATCTCATATCTGTTTCGTTTTTGGATTATTATTATCGTTTTATAGTTTTAATTGATTTGATTGAAGTTGAAAGGATTCGATTATGATGAGATTTTTGAAACATTAGGAGATCGAATCATAATGTTATGATTTGAAAAGTTAAGGAGGTTGAAAAGTGGCAATGATGATGAACACAATCTCTCTCATATCATTACAAGTATGAGGGTTTACCTGTGATTATTTTTCAAGCACTTTTGAGCCACTAGCTGTTTTTAATTATTTCTCCGATGATTTCAATTGATTTTATTATATGCTTGAGCTTTTTGAAGATTATTTTTCAATTGATTTCCGTCTGTAATTTTAGGATTTGATTTGCTGATTGTAATTTGATGGTAAAAAACATGATATCCAAAACCTAAAACCTTGAAGTGTTTAGTTACGTAAGGTGTTTTGGATTGCTTATAAAAATATTTTTATTGATTTATTCCAATGTATCATCGATAATACCCATTTTTGTAAGTGTTTGGATAAATAATTTATATCTGTGCCAAATCGATAAAAAAAAGTTTTTGAAGAAGTTAGACTATTCTAACTTACTTTTTGTAGAAAAGCATATGTTTTTTCAAAATAAGCAATCTCAAATATTCCTTTATATTTTTCATTTTTCCACTTTTAATTAATAATGCTTTATTTATTAAATATATAAAATGAAATTGTTATTATTATTTACAAAATACATTATTGGAAAACACTGCAAAAGACTGATTAAAATGATACCAACATTATTAAAAACCTAGTTTTATGTATATATGTAATTTATATTATAGAAAGGTACATATTTATTAGGTTTAGGTCCTAAATTGCATGTTATCATTAAATACTATGTGTTTAAAAAAAACATATTTGTGCTTAAGACAGATTATAGTTCCGGTTTTATAAAGCATTGAAGATGGGTTTTTGTTTGCTGGAAATCTGATGTAGTAAAATAGATCAAGTCTTTTAAAACTTGACCATTGCTTTTGCTCGAAATTTACTAGATCTTTTCAACAAAAGTTTAAAAGTAAGACGAGATTAGACAAGACAAGAGGGTAGGATGAGACATGATAGGACAGTACAACAGGGTAGGACGGGACAAGTTGTTTGTCTGGATATGATATAAATGTTATAAAATATAAATGATACAAATCAAGTAAGTAATTTAATTTATAAACATTTTTATATAATTTTCATATATAATACATATATGTATAACAATACCAAATTTGATGAAGGAATTTGATATCATTGATGGCAATAGAAAACTATTCCACAAAATAAAAACTGTTTTATTTGGTGGAGGTTGTGACAACGACAATGGTGGTGATTGTAAGCTTGTGGTTATTGGTGGACGACGAAGGTTGTGAATGTGAAGACAATAAATAGTGGTGATGGTGGCAGTCAACAATGGTGGGCGATGGTAGTCTAGCCGATGATCATGGTGGTGGACTTCGGTGATTGTGGATGATGTAAAGATGATGGACAAAAGGGGTGATGGGAGGTTGTTGCAAATACCATAGTGGTGGCTAGTGGGTGATAATGATTGTGGAGGATGTGAAGATGGTGGATAGTGGTGGTGATGGTGGCCGTCGACGTTGAGGTGGTGGTCTTCGGTATAAATAACTCACCAAGGTTTGTTTTATCTGGTATCAAACGGGAGCTACGAGCAAATAGAACATCGAAAGCTTGACGGAGCAATGCCGTGTGGAGGTAGAAGGCCCACGGGTCGTGAACTTCTTTAAGAGTCGTTTATCAAATGCTTATCTGTTATATGTTTATCAAGTCATATTATTGTACTAGATGAACATGACAAGGACTGGGAAACTCACCTTATAAGAATGATGTCAATGACCAAGAGCCTTATCGGGTGACGACTCTTACATGGTGTCGTTTTGATAACTAATAAATGATAGTGTTAACTTTGATCGATAAGCGTTTACCGGATAAATAATATGATAAACAACTTCTTAGTTGTTGTTACCTTAGTTTCTGGTTATTTCACCAATTGTTAAGCAATCTCCATGCATCTAATACAAATCATGTTAAATTTTGTTCATTTATACATATGCAATTATAAAGAAAAATCGGTTCACCATTGCTTAAGGAAAACACACCAAATGAGAACTTTTTTCGGTCAAATCATTGCTTTCATTAGAGATATATGTAATACGTTTGGCTTATTTGTTGGCAGCTTAATATTTAATGAGAACTACAACTTATTTAGTTAGCTATACATAACTGTTTGATTGTGGTTAAATGATATATAAAGTGTCTTATTCGGTAAAATTTCTAGAAGGAAATTTTATACAAAAAACCAAATTTATTCCAAACTTGTTCATCCCACTTAAAAAAACACAATCATTCCATATATGAGAAAACCATCCTAAACAAAAAATATTCGCAATCTATATAGATAGATTAATCCATACAGACAACTTTATTCACAAAAGTTTGTGAATTGCGACATCAATTACAATAAAATATTTACAACATTTTAGGGGGCATTCGATGCTGTAATAATCAAGATAGTATATCGAAAAATAAGGCCAATATGTAATTTTGTTCATATATCATATGTATATTTATATCTTTCGTACAAATTCCACATGTTACACATTCGCTCTGACAACCATCGTGTAGGTTAATTGCGTTATTTAAGGTCAAAACTGTAGAACAAATGATATATGCGGTTTGAGTTTTTTTTCCAACCACAAACCAATTTAACACGATGTATGCCTTGGACTTCGAAAAGCCGTACTACATATACTTGAGATTTACTGAATATGACAATCAATTGCAACACAGTAATTATGATGAACATTAAGTTATAGTTTTATAGTCCATACAATATAAAATGATAATTTTACATAACATAATTAAGTCTAAATGCATAACAAACTTTTATTGTACAGTGAAAAACATATCTAAAACAAGTTTTATTTATAACAAATTGAAATGATTTATTTAGTTGTAGATTTTGATCTGAAACACGTTTTTTTTTTCCAGATATTTGATTATCGAAGCATCTTCAATGTATGCTCTAAAATAGAGAAAATGCAACTTTTGTTATCTGTTTTGTTTTAACAGATCTAAATTTAAATACTTCTGTAAAATTTACATATGAAGAGATAAATCAACTTCTTATTCATTTCTATCAATAGCGATTAAATTATTATTATTTTATATATATATTTTTTAAAATAAAATATAAAAAATGGGTTTGAGATGATTTAAGAAAACAAGTAATAATTGGACAACACCAACATTGTGATTACTTGTCATTGATTGAGATTCCAACGTGGAAAAAGATAGTGAAGTCTTTTGATCCTAAAGAAATAGACTGCCACGTGTCATCACAGAAACAAAAGACGGCCAATGAAATAACACCTTATCCTATCTGCTTATCCCAGAAAAAATCTCCATCAAACCCCTTTCATCCATACAAAAATCTCTTTCAATTCCTACTTCAATCCCACTTTTCTGCAACTAATTACGAATCAACAATGGCAGCTTCACTACAACCAGCGGCCACCTTCATGCAACCAACCAAGGTTGGTGGCATCTCTGGCCGATTGCAGCTCAAGTCTCAGAGCATTTGCAAGGCTTTTGGTGTCGATCAGTCAACTGGCTCCAGGCTCTCTTGCTCTCTTCAAACTGATTTCAAGGAATGCCTTCAGAAATGCTCCGATGCCGCCAAGATCGCTGGCTTCGCCCTCGCCACTTCTGCCCTTGTTGTTTCGGTAAGTCTCCTAGATGATTTGCAATTATTCAATGGTTTTTGGTGCCTTAATTAAAGTTCATGAATTCTTGGTGTATGGATCGGATGACTTTATGATTCTAGCTTAAGTTTTAGTAGTTGGATCCATGAAAGATTTCTACAAGAACACTGATTTAGTATCTTGTTTTGATCTTGTGTTATTGACCTTGATCTTACTATCCCCAACTGTTTGTTGATTTGCCTAAGTAAGCATATCAATGCAAATATTATGTTTGTTGGTGCCTTAATTAAAGTTCATGAATTCTTGGTATATATGTCAGATGATTTGTGATTCTAGCTTAAGTTTTGATAGTTGGGTCCAGGAAAGATTTTCTACAAGAACATTGATTTTAGCTATATCCTGGTTCAAATGGTGCCTTGTTTTGATCTTACCATCCCCAACTGTTTGTTGATTTGCTTAAGTGAGCATATATCAGTGGAAACTACCGGTGGTAAACTAGTCAATATTCAGTGATCTTTGCCCTGGGTTGTGTAGCTCAGTTGACAGAGGAGTGAAGTCACTTTACTCAAATATACAATAGGTTAAAATTCGTATCCTGCAGTAGACGGGCTTGAACCCTTCCACCAGCCTCGGCCGCTGAGTCAGCTCTGATATCTCTCCTCACATGTGGTTCCTAGGGGGTGGGTTCCTTGTGGGGGCGGTCGGGGTTGTAATCAACCTTTGCTCAAATATTAAGTGATCTTTGGTGCCTTAATTAAATTTCATGAATTCTTGCTATATGGGTCAGATGGGTTTGTGATTTAAGCTTTAAAGTTCAAGAACTTTTGCCATGGATCATATGGTAATCTTGTTTTTGATCTTGTTATTGAACTTAGTTTATGTTTTGTGTACATTCGACGGTATATGAATGTTGAGGGATGATTTGATCGATGATGATGGAAATTATAGGGAGCAAGTGCAGAGGGAAGTCCAAAAAGGCTAACTTTTGATGAAATCCAAAGCAAAACATATATGGAAGTAAAAGGAACCGGAACGGCTAACCAGTGCCCAACCATCGAAGGTGGAGTCGATGGGTTTGCCGTCAAGCCCGGCAAATATAACGCCAAGAAGTTCTGCTTAGAGCCCACATCTTTCACCGTCAAAGCCGAGGGTGTCAGCAAGAACTCCGCACCCGAGTTCCAAAAGACAAAACTAATGACCCGTTTGACCTACACCCTTGACGAGATCGAGGGACCCTTGGACGTATCCCCCGATGGCACCCTCAAGTTTGAAGAAAAAGACGGAATCGATTACGCTGCCGTGACTGTTCAGCTACCTGGAGGCGAACGTGTGCCTTTCCTCTTTACAATCAAACAACTGATAGCATCCGGTAAACCCGAGAGCTTTGGTGGAGAATTTATGGTGCCGTCTTACAGAGGTTCGTCGTTTCTTGACCCAAAGGGCCGAGGTGGGTCCACCGGATACGATAATGCCGTTGCTTTGCCGGCTGGCGGGAGGGGTGATGAAGAGGAGTTGGTTAAAGAGAACATAAAGAATGTCGCATCATCAATTGGAAAGATCACGTTGAGTGTGACGTCAAGCAAGCCCGACACCGGAGAAGTGATCGGTGTATTTGAGAGCATTCAGCCCTCAGATACCGATCTCGGGGCCAAGACACCTAAGGATGTTAAAATCCAAGGTGTCTGGTACGCTCAGTTGGAGTAATAGACACCTTGGTTTTTTTAGCAGCATTGTAATTGTGGCAGTTATCAAGATTTTCTTGCTTGTATATTATCAAGAATTAATACATGTAATAAATGCTATGATAAATTTTGTCACTAATGCTTTCAATTTAGAAAAATTATATAAAAATTAACCTATTTTGGTTTTAATTTTATTTTTTATAACATACTTTGGTTTGAAAAATATGATATTAAAAAAAATTGTTTTACTTAAATATATATTATATTATAAAATATTTGACAAAACAAATGCTTTTAAAAACCATTTTTTATGTATGAAGTATTATTTATTGATATATATTACTTAAAGTTCAAGATTATAAGTAAATTGTGTTTAAATACAACTTATTAAAGCTTAATGATTAAATGCGTATAACTAACTGTAGATAAACATAATCAAATACAAGATAAACATATCATTTTAAATATAAGAAATCTAAAATATAATTAAGATAAATTTAATTATAATAAAATCTGTACAAAAAGGAGAATTTTTAAACTGTTATTTGATATTAATATCGATATAAATTTCTATGTCTTTCAATTTTATATTTTATTTAAATATAAAAAAACATTATTGTTTTCTCAAAATAACACGGAACCATATTATACAATCGACATAAATAAATAATAAAACAAAACATTAAAATCAAAATGTATTTTGTGGATGTATTATTTTAAAATAGGAATCTTAGTTAAAGGTGAGTCTTAAATTATTTGGGATTATTGAAGATATGTGTAAGCTAATAAAAGTAAGGTAATATTATTTAAGTTAAACGATTACCGCATGATCCAAAAAGAGTTTCTCTTTAAAAGGAAATAGTCAAAAGACAAATTTTGACTTTCTTTTTCCTTATTTTTTTATTTAATAATTATTTATAGTATTATAAACACGTTGGTTTATTTTAATCAATCTTTTATTATCTATACTATCATATTAAGCAAATTTAGCAAAAGTCTTAAAGTCTTAAAATATTAAATGACCAAGATACCCTTTATACTAACCTTACATCACTTTTTCACCCCCTCCTCTCCTCACATACACTCACCCCCTCACATACACTCATCCTCTCACAACCGATTTTTTAAAATTATAATTTTAAATTTACACTTTATACCCATATAATTAGTTAATTAATTTATTTTACGTCATTTACTTTTAAATGTTTTATTTTAAACATTTATCAAATTAACATACATAACCGTATATATATTAAAACATGTTTAAAAAAAATACATTTTTATTTTAACAAGTTACACCATTATAATCGTCTCGTTAATACCTTCGAAATGAGTCCAATATTGAATAGTTTTTGACTTAGTTATATTATTATATATTATATATACTGTGAAAAAATATTTTTAATATTTACGATTTTATACTTTTATATTTATTTATTTATATATATAATATATATTTTGGGGTTAGGATGTCTAAATTGCATTGTATAATATGTTCTGAATTAATATGTTCTTGGGTTTTTTTTGAAATATATATATACATGTATTAATTCAACCTTAATCTGAGTTTCTGGACAAGAAATAGGGTAAACAGTTGAAATTTCATTCTAAAACTCAACTTTTTTGGTCTTTTCATGGCTTATGATCTGTCAAATTTGTAGTTTTTTTTATTGGTTTTGAGTGTTTATCTTAAAACTCAAGTTTCTTGGTTCTTTGCTCTTAGTGTAAATCGAACACATCTGTGGAGTCGTTTAAATATGTTGGATTTTAAATATATTGGATTTTAAACTGTCATATAATTTTTTTCATCGATAGTCTGTAATTGGAACCATAACTCTTATTTATTCAAATTGTATTAATATGTAAAGACCAAATGTAACTTATATCATCGTTAAATCTTATCTTATAAAACCAGTGGAACTTCAAAATCGTTAAAATTCATGGTTCCCGCCGCATTGCGCGGGTAAACAACTAGTATTATATTAAAGAAGTGTTGTTATTTTATACACAAACATATATAGATGGAGGTTCAAACAAGAACAATCCTTATTACATGTGATGATACATTTAAGGGGACTTTGTGGTGTATGGATGTCGTGCCTTGCGACTTAGGTCGCACCAAAGATCGTTTGAGTCTATAATTTAGTATCACATGTGATGGTCTTGATGGATTATAATATCATATTAATAACATTTTTATCACATGTGAGGGAGCTTAGTGGTGTAAGGACGACTTGACCTACAACCTAGATCGTGTCAAAAGTCATGCATGACTCTGATTTAGTAACACATGTGTATCATATGTAATCGATGTTATAACACGGTTTTATGTGGTTTTAGAAAAAAAACGATAATGTTTTTACTTTTTAATAAAATATACATCAAATTAACTATTTAAAATTCATGTTTTGTTGTATAATTTCTTTAATTCAATTTTTTAATTATCATTTAATTTAGGTTTAATAACGATATATTTATTTTTTATTTAATAATATTTTTTTTTATAAAGATAATAATTAAGTATTTTGTTTGAACACAATAATTATCCAAATTATATTTTAGATTTTTATATTTAAAATAAAATGTTTATCTTGTATTTGACTACGTCTATCTACAGTTAGTTACACGAATTCAAGCATGTAATTTTAGTAACTTGTACTTATGCATTATTTACTTATAATCTTAAATTTTAAGTAATATGCATCAATAAACAATACTTTATGTATAAAAAATGGTTTTTAAATTTTTTTGTCAAATATCTTATAATATAGTATAAAAAATATAAGTTTTAATATTGATATTAGTAGTTAGATGTGAATTTACCTTACCCTCAAAAAATAAACATAAACCCACACAAAATTAAATCCGGATTATTTATTTATTTTAGTAAATTACAATTTTTGTCCCTGTGGTTTGTTATTTGTAACTATTTTTCATCTTTTGTTGTGGTTTTCATTTCATTTCATTTTTCATCCATGAGGCTAACAAGGTTAAAAAAAATCCGTTAAATTAGAAGGTAAAGATCCTTTAGCTTTTTATTTTTATTAAATATTTATATCATTGAACAAGCTATTAAAGTTGTAGGGGTCGTTTATCAATTAACATTACCTTACCGAATGAATACAGTGTGTAACAAAAATATTACTCGATAAGAGCAAAGACAAGTATCGAGAGTCTTACCTGGTAAGTGAGAGCGATGACTTTTACCACGATTAGTGTTTACCGGGTAAATTATTGCATTTGATACCATTTTGGTGGATTAAAATCTTACCCGGTAAGTAAATGATAATGTTGAATTTTGCCGGTAAAAATAATACATAATCTACCTCACTCCTACTCTTTTTTGGTTTCCTTTTACATTTTTCTTTAATATAATAAGGTTTAATAGCTTGTACAATGATTTAAATATTTAATAAACATAAAAAAAAAAGGTCAAAAAATCATATAACCCCTAATTTAACGGATTAATCTAACTCTGTTAGTCTTAGAGATGAAAAACGAAATGAAATGGAAACCATAACGATTAAAAAGCAGAGGAAGGAAAATAGTTATAAACAACAAATTAGAGGGACTAAAATAGTCATAAATAACAAATCCGAGGGACGAAAATGGCAGTTTACTATTTTTTTTGTTACCATTCAAAGAAGACGGAAGAATAGTCAAAGGAGTTCCTCCGGCCACCGTCGTCTCTTTCGATCCGACGCCATTACCTTCTTGATTAATACATATTCTGTTTTTCTAAAACGAATCCGATTCAAATTCCGGACTCAATTGAATTGATTGGGACAAAGAAGAAACGTGGAATGGCTTGTACGCACGGTTACCAATCGTTATGACGATCCTCCGAAGGTCCAAGGAGGAACAATTGCCGATCATCATTCTTCAATCCAATTACAATCGATTTCTCAGCAGAAGAACAAGAAGGAGTGCGGAATTGTGATTTTTGTACAGAGATTCAGATAGGAATTGAAGAGTAGGAGAAAGGGTAGGGGATTGATGGAAGAAGAATTGCCAGGGGCAATTGGAACAAGCGCAAGCTTAGCCTTAAGATTGGGACAAGCTCTCTTCTCTGTTGCTTCCCTCCTTTTCATGTGCGTCGGTGTTGAATTCTACGCTTATACTTCTTTCTGGTAATATTCTCTATACCCTAAATTCGATTTTTGTGTTTTGTAATCTCTTCTTCTAGTTATTTGGGGTTTCAATTTGGTTGTAACTGTAGTCAGATTATGAATCTAATTGGTATTTTGAAAAGCTATACCAGATGATCGTGATTCGTGAAATTGAGCCCCGGCTTTTTCATTCTAATTAACTAGACACCAGTGGTGTATGTTTTGTGATTGGTATAACTGAAAGGGCATATTAGCGACTGGTAATGTTCATGCTAGGATCACAAAGTTCCAAATTAAGCACAATTTTACGTTTTTGCAGTCGAACACACGAGCTATAATTGAAATTGTATCTTTTAGATTCTGAAAGTAAGGAGGTATGCATTTGTATTTGTTTGATGTGAAACAGCCAACAACTTGTACCTGCTTCCTGCTTAATGAGCCATAACCGAGTACAAAGTCGAATCTTAAGCGAGTAGAATGAATGTTGTCTGTTATGCTTTGTAGGAATTTGAAGATACGGAGCTGCATATTTTGTCACCCTGCATTGTTTATCACCCCTCCTGAATGATAATTTAGTATAGGACGTAGTAGTATGAAAAAAGGGTAGATGCCATCCTAGGAGTGCCCTCACCACACTGATCCAACGGTCATCATGGGGAGGTAAATTAGCGCATGCCTCCTATTGGAAGCAGAGTGGAGCCCAGGTTCGAACCCACGACCTCACTCGTATGGATAACACCCACACCTTTTTAACGCTGGGGCAGATCAACAGGGACTAGGCTGTAGTGGTATAATTGCCCATTCCTTGATTATGGCGACTTTGGGTTTCTTGATATTATTTTACTGGCGTGTGCACCTAATCCTTCATCATAATAAGAATGGTGTCGAGGCACTAAACTATATAGTAATTATGTACATGGGTTACTAGTAGATCCCAACCTCCATTGAGGTCAGGGGTTCAAATCTTACAGAAGGTGAGGACTGAGGAGCGTGTGTAAGTTTTGCGGTATATGATTGTATTATGCTTCACAAAAAAAGATAATGGGCAAGTACGATTAGTCCTTGCTTGTTATGTGTGCACGAAAATACGTTCTCTCTTATGCTTATAAGTATATAGCCCTTTAGCGGGTTATATATTCTTGGAACGTGGTTGAACACTTGAACTAAGGAACCATTTCGCATCTTATCTTGGTAAACATTTAAGAAAAGTTCAAGAGTGGTGCGTGAACTACGAACGTTCATAGGGAATCAATGAAAGGTATCTTTTATTAATACTACCCCTTTGAGGTGATTTCATTTTAAGAAATTGATTTTGTGAGAAGTTAAGCTGCTTAAGGAATTAAGGGCAATTTTGCAATATATATGATAACGGGTTTCCTATTTTCTTCTCAGCTTCTTGGTGACAATAAAAGGCTTAACGATTCCATGGAGTTTGACACTAGCAATGGTTGATGCATTCTCTGTGTTTGTAAAACGCCCATCTCGCCAAGTACAAATAGTGTCTACCATAGTTATTGGAGACTGGGTATGCTTTTACCTCTTATATTTCCCGCCTACCTGTTATATCACCTATCTTATTGCCTGCTTGCACACACCTTTGCATCGCGCACAAGCTCCGGGTCTTCACGGAAACAGTCTCTTGATCTTCGTGCTTGAGCTAAGGTTTGCATGCATCCTACCCCTCCCCGGCCCTACTTTCAAGTGGGATTTACTGGGTTTGTTTGATTTACAAAAATCTCCCTCTCCTTCCTTGCGCTCTCTCTCTGAACTCTGATGCTAACTAAAAAATTACAATGACAGGTTCTATCTTTCCTATCACTAGCCGCAGCATGCTCAACGGCCAGTGTGGCTGATTTCATGATTACAGAAGCCGGTGACTTCTTCTGTGGAAGAAAATTGTGCAGCAGATATCAACTGTCAGCTGCAATGGCCTTCTTGTCCTGGTGCTTGTCTATAGCCTCGGCTCTTTTTAATCTTTGGCTTCTCCCTTCTTTATACTAAAATGTAGATATAAGTTTGGGCTATTCCCATTACGTATAGTTGCATATCGTAAATAATAACAAAAATAAGAAAAATAGTCAAATGTTATAGCTTAGCGTTCCACATCTACAGCACATTTTGCATCCGAGTTCAGGAACTGAACAAGGGTAAATTTGTTTATGATCCCACAGATGAATATATGTTCCTTTCTGTTGAAGCTCTCATGCCCTTTTTTGGCAATCACCAAATGAAATCACATGCTCTTTTGTTTATAAGGGGTCTTGAAACCTATAAATAGAAGGCATACATGAGTAGTTGAAAACTTTTGTGTACATTCAAACACATATATCATGATTGACTTAGAAATCATACCTTTTAATCAACTTAACCATATTAAAAATTATTGATAGCCCACAACTTTGAACTTATAAGGAGCTCATAGATCTACGTTTTCATCCATGTGGGACGGGTTGTTACAGACTTACAGTAGTCACTGAATCTCTCCTTTAGGTGCACTTCATCTAGGGGGTTTCTGTTAATGCAAAAATCACCATCTCACGTAGAAGTTTAGTAAAACTTGGATTGGATGCTTGCATGAGATACTTTTGTATATAAGCATTATATGTTTATAGAACTAAAAGATAATAATACTCTCCTAAATCAGTTAACCAATTATCGTTTATATTTAGATAGAAAATGCATCTGTAAATACATTTTCCAGGAAAATTATTTTAGACTTACTGTAAAAACCTCGTCTTATAAGTTAGCTTTTTGAAGCTGTAGGGGACTTTTTCCGATTATACCCATTTCAATTGATTTTTGAACATGTATTTTTTGGTCACATTTTATATAGCTTATCAACTAGTTTTTATCAAGCATGCATAGTTTATCAGTCACCAGCTAGCCTTTCAACTAACAATTAGTTTATCGGCTAGTTTGCCAAATATAGCTCAACAATCTGATGGTTCATATAGGGAATTCATTTCATATGAATGCATTGGCCTAGCTAGAGAAAAGTTGTAATCTAATATAACAAGCAAAAAGAAAAGAAAAGAGAGAAAACATCATTAGATATCATGAAATCTCACATGTCAAATTCTAGGTTTGCAGATTAATTAGCTTGTCATTAGATTTTTGGATGTACTAATTTCTTCGAATAAGAAAATTATTTTATATCAATTTTGAAAGTTAAACGAATCGTGCTCAATAATTATTACCATCACAATTCACTAGTGTCGGAGGTCTTCACGTAACCAGCCACTCTGTCATTTTGGATAGATTACAGGTATGCATACATCTCAACTTCATATATCTTAATTTTGAGTGGATATAATGTGTTTGTTTGGTTTGATTAATTTTACCATCGAAAGTGTTGAAACATTGGTTATAAAACTCATCTAACTTGCTCTTAATAGTTGGTAAAGAGAACTATTTGTAGAGAGATGGAAAAGGGTAGATTGCTAGTAATATACCAAAAACAACTATGTTATAATAGAAATTTTGTTGATTTAAGAGAGTTTTGTGCTCCAACAGTTATGTTATATTTGTATGATAAAATAGAAAAAAATGATAGAAAATATGAAAATCTCTAAAACTTTTAGTTCTTTCCCACCAACAAGAGGTACTGAAAATAAATTATATTAGAGAGAAATAATATTTATTAAATGTATAAAATATTTTAATAATATAATATTACAGTTAATGCTCGACTTGTTAAAATAGAGTAGTTGATGGAGTTGGATGTAATATTCTTAAAGATTTTGACTTTTGATACTTTATTTTAGAGAATTTATTGCATAACTGTTAGAGATGCTCTTACTATATGTTCCTGAATCCTTTTTTTACGAGGGAAAGGCATATCTTTCCTCCCAAATATAAAAAGAAAAGACAACACTCAGACAATTTAATAAAATTACAAAACTACCCATCAATTTAACACCATCACAACAAATATAAACTATAAAGAGAACATTTGTAAAATTGACAATTTTCCTTTCTTTTTTCTCTGGTTCAAAAACGTAAAAGACTGCTTCATCCCCTTCCCTTAATTTCAAAGATGCAAAATTTTAGTTTCTTGAATATTGTTTTCTGGCTATTGCAGAGAACATTAAAGGTTGGTTTTTGTATTCCCATATGGTCATCTGTTGGTATTTCATATATATATATATATATATATATATATATATATATATAATATCTGTGTGTGTGTATAAGAATCTAGTAGTAAGTTCTATATATTATCAAGTAAACACGGAATAGCCAAATACAACCACAACTTTCTGTAATCTGTATAACCACATTCATCATTGATTTTAGTATAATATTTTAAGCATCCATAGATACATATATATACATACATGATACATGTGCATATATGCATTCAAGTTGGTGATCCAGATCATACAAATGCTTGTTGATAAACAAATGGTGAGAGCATGCAAGCAATAGATCATCTCCACGAATCTTGCTGCATATGTGCAGACAGAATATCCTAGAAAAACATTTAAGAAATCAACATGTTGATGATGAATATATAATTGCAGCAAGTACAGATTTTGTGTTGTTTTGCCGGTGGTTTTGGGAGCTGTTCAACATGCAAACTGATTCAATTCTCTCCTAAATTCATGTGTGAATGTACGACATTTCCCTCTTTTGGAATCTTTTTGCCTACATGTTCAGGTTTTTTTCTTTTATAAATTATCCTGCCAAGGAAAGAAGCAAGAAGAACCCTGTTTTGAGTCTTTGAATCCGGTCGAATTGCTGGAATGGAATATTAAAAACGAGATACAGACAGGGTTTTAGTTTACCCTTTTAGTACATGTTTAATATTTCATTCCAGTATTTCCGCCAAATGCTGATTCAGTAAGAAAGGGGTTTCTTTTTGACGCGTTCAATGCTTCAGTCACGCTTGATCAGCAACTATTTTCAGTCACTGCTTATCTAAGCCGGATTCAGACCTCACTCTTATTCAGCACTTACTCAGTTTGTGTTGGTTAGGGGGTTTTTTACTGATTATCAATGGGATTCGATTCGTGTCTTAAGAAGATTGTATTGTTTTGGCACATTATTGGTTTCCTTTTGTATGCTTGATTAATATTATATAACTTTATGTAGAGCCTTGAATAGGTTTTAGCATTCAATTCTCTTTTTGCAACTTATAATCTATGGGTTAAAAAACCCCACAAGGGTGGTGCCTGATTGGTTTGAATTTGGCTCCAAATGTGAAAAGTACCAGGAGGTCCCAGGTTCAAATCCAAAGAGAATAAAAATCCCCTTGTGACCACGGAGGTTCAAATGCGGTGACTCCGGGCTATCTGCAAAGCAGGTGGTCGTCCTGGGATTAGTCGGCTCGCATAGCGGGTTGGATATCCAGGTTAATAAAAAAAAATCTATGGGTTAAAATGTATTGAAATATAACGTATTTAGTTTTGATTTTTATTAGTGTAGCAATAACTTTTGTTCATAATTAATATAATAGAAGTGTATTTAGTTTTGATTTTTATTAGTGTAGCAATAACTTTTGTTCATAATTAATATAATAGAAGTGTATTTAGTTTTGATTTTTATTAGTGTAGCAATAACTTTTGTTCATAATTAATATAATAGAAGTGTAATTCTTTCTATTTCATACTCATTTTAATCAATAACCGATAGATATTTTAATGACTGAATAACGTGTATTTCAATTCTTGATTCAAGGAAAAATATAACATGAAAGCGTAATGGATGTAATGTAAGTTGCAGGGCCGTTTCTTCGCATGTTAAATACAAAATTTTGAACAAACGCCTTCATAATTTTGGGATCTTTCATCTACTTATGTAAAGGCAGTAAAGCCTTATCTATAGCATACCTTGGTGTAGAGATGAGCAAAATGGGCCCGGCGTGAGACCGGCTTAGAACCGGGACTGGGGCCAATTGGGACCGGGACCAGTAGGGACTGAAGACAAAAGGCTTGGTGTCTCTCTAAATTCGATCAAAAGACAAAAGTATGCGTCTTATTTTATGTGTCTTCTTTAATCATCTCTGAAGGGTGATTGAATTCAAAGGCTCAAGAAACGAATTTGCAAACCACAAGGGTTATGGCGTAGTGGTTGAGGTCTTGGTAGATGTGGTGGAATATCTCATATGCCTAGGGTTCAATTCCAGACTTACATAACAAATGTAGCCATTAAATTTATCAAAGCTGATTTCTTGCAGTTAGTCCAGATAACTTGGGACCCTTCCAAAAAAATTTTTGTGTACTTCGACCATGGTTCTAGATACTCAACAGTTTCAGATAATCAAATTGTTGATTGTTTAGGTTTAAATTATTAAATGTTTAAGTTTCAGTTCAGATTGGTGGTTATTTAAGTTTATTGTTTAGGTAATGCCTTTCTCCATGATTAATGTATATAACTCAATCTCAACCGTTTATTTAATTTGATAAATATGTGATTTCATAAAAGTTTTGATTATTTTCTAATATAAAGATTGATCATAATTAATGAACTCTGGTCATCTTTCATAAATATTCAGATCATATATATATATATATATATATATATATATATATATATATATATATCTTTATATTCTCATTTTACAGTGTAAACAAACGTTCTAAATGTAACAGGGTCTCCAAAAGTATTGGAACAACACCCCTGTTAAGTTGAAACCCGTTTATAACGTAAAATGGTAATGAAATTAAAAGAACTGAACGTTTATTATATTGATCGAAAAAAATGATTATTACACTTAATAGTAACCAAAATAAATTCCATCAAAATTTAATACAAAAGTTGTATATTGGTGCATTATTTTTTTCATTAACCTATATATTCAACTCATTATGCGGCTGATTAATCCCAAAACGACCATCTGTAAAACAGATAACCTGGAGTCGGTGCATTATTAGAGGAATAAAAGCATGGTATGGTTTTGAAGGAAGTTTCGTTGTGGGCAAATGGAAGTTTGCATAGGCTTATTATAAATAATGGAAGGAAAGTAGGAAATGGTGATGATGGAGATATTAGAAAGTGGTTGTGGTTGTGTTTGTGTTTGTGTTTGATCATATGATTACCAAAAGTATCCCTTTATACAATTAACTACTTTACACCTTTATTTTTTTAGATTCTTCTGTCGTCTTTATCCATATTTTCTTCTATTTATTTATTTATTTGTAAATTATGTTTTCCGTCCTTATGGCTTTTTAATAATTACCATTTTTGTCTGTGTAA